TTGTCTCTTATGGTCTTTATAGATGTATTGGTATAAAATAAAAATAATGTATCATAATAAGGTCGTTTGAGATTATAATTTGATAACAAGTCACTATAATTGGCAATAACCTTCCAATGACAAGTTAAGGTCGTTTTGGTAAAAAAAATGATTTCATGCAAAGAACATTATAAAGGATTATTTTAATGACCAATATTTAAAGATACAAAACAAAAGAATAACAAGAACCACAAATGCCATCGCCGAGCGGGGTCAACGGTCGAACAAACAAATAAACCGCTAACAAATCATTTAAAAGAAAATTAAAGTAAAAACAATAAGTTATTACATTTCTAAAATTTTACTACGTCTGTCTAGACACACTTGTATTGTCCAAGTATGAATCATTTCCATAAATAAATGACAAAGTTTAGAAAATACAAGCACAATTTAATCATTTGAGGTCAAGGTCACTTATAGATCAAGGTAATATCTAAATCATTCAACGTGTTGTCTTTAAATATTAAGTTAATCCATTCTTAACTAACAAAGTTATAGCCAGTTACAGAAAAACAAGAGAATTTCATTAATTTGTCCTTGACGGTCATGGTAACATCTAAATAACTAAATCTATGTTTAATGGCAAATTTTGTTTTGTCAAAGTTTAAACTGAATTTGTAAATGAATAAATAATTATGATAATTTAACCAAAATTCAATAATCTGACCTTGACAGTGAAGGTCATTTGAATCCCAAGGTCAATATTATTTCAACCAATTATAATGTCTCGTCCAAAAAGTTGTTTTGTCTAAGTATGAACGTAATCCGTTTATTAATTACCAAGTTAAACTCAATATTGTAGCAAAAATCATTGAAAATTCAATAGGTCAGGATCACGGTCATAAATGAGCCAATGTCAATTTCAGTTTAATTCACGCGAAGGTTTTATCCATAAACATTTCATGTCTTAGTATGAATTCAAACCATTAATTAAGTAATAACTTAGTATGAAGTTAAACCATTAATTAAGTAATAACTTAGTATGAAGTTAAACCATTAATTAAGTAATAACTTAGTATGAAGTTAAACCATTCATAAAGTAATAACTTAGTATGAAGTTAAACCATTCATTAAGTGATAACTTAGTATGAATTCAAACAATTCATTAAGTAATAACTTAGTATGAAGTTAAACCATTCATTGATAACAAAGTTATTGGAATTTACAGCATAAAAATTCAATAATTAGACCTTCAAGGCCAATAATATGTACACGTGAACGTCACGGTCGGTCTGTCAGGTTATCTTGAATGACTTTCCTAAAAGATTGTTGTGTTCAAGTTTGAAGACAATCTATTTAAAAAAAACAAGGTTATAGCCACTTATAGCAAAAATCAGCATAAATCAAGCAAAAATTAGACATTTGACCTTGAAGTTCAAGGTCATTTATGAATAAAGGTCTTGCCAATTTTAAGGTCTTGCCCCAAGGTTGTTGTGGCCGAGTATGACGAAAATGCTCAACATTACAGTTTTGGGATGGCAACGGCAACGCCAACAAGACTCTAACAATACCTCTATTGTTTTTCTTAAAAAAAATGTTGGGCTAAAGGAACAATTTATGAATGGCAAAATCCATTTTAAAGTCGTCTGTTGTAGTAAAGACAGATGCGTTCTTTTGCAACAAACTCAAAGAACTTGCAAAATCTTAATTCAAAATAAATGTCTAACCATTATTGTGTGCAAAAAAGGCAATGACGATTATAAAAAAATAAAAGAATTTCGACATAAACAAAATATCATCAGATGAAGAATATTATAAAGACTACTCCTAGAAAATACATTTTATGCGTAAAGAATAAAATTTTAATTTCATATTTGATTTTTACAGGCAAGGACATTCAAAGGTCATATGTTTAAATAAACCATGTCAGTTTCCTCATAAGTGCTCTTTTGTCCAAGTATAAATCAAATCCATAAAATAAATAACAAAGATACGGTCAAATGTTGAGAAATTGTTTCAAGGTAAAATTAAGATCAAGTTAAATTCAATTCAATTTTCTTTAATGTCCAGTCGCACTTATTACTTACAAAGTTATAGCAAATAACTGTGAAATTACAATAATTTGACCTTCAAGGTCAAATTGAGTTTGGTCTTTTTTTAAATATTTTACTTCAGATAGTTGTGCTCAAGCAAAAAGGCAATTCATTCATATATAGAACAGAACGTAATTATATTTTTGACAAGTACATAGTATATTTTAAAATATTTTTTATAGTTCTGGCGGCCATTTTGTGCAGCGGAGTGGAAGTTGCCGGCGACATGCAAAACAAGGAATGATACTGATGACTCTTGTGAAGTTTTGCTGAATTTCCCCCAGCAGTTTTGGAGATAAAGTGTGGACAAGATACTGGACGGACGGACAGTATGATTACTATATGCCGCCCCCCCTGGGGCATAAAAAGTCAAACATTTAAGACTGTAGGGCAGGTTCCGTTAGTTCAACTTAAAGTTCTTGTCCAAAAATATGTCCTGTGTTAAAGTTTTTAAACGGCAATATCAACAGCAACGGCAATGTCAACGATACCATGACTCTTTCAAACAGTCAAGCTAAAAACGACCTCCAACTTTTAAATAATAACATATCTTCGGTGAATTTTTGTAACCATTGTAGGGTTCTCCTTAGCAATGATAAGTGCAAAACAACTAAGATATGGGCGTTGTAGTTTAAGACAAGAAGACATACATGTAAATACGTTTTCCTATTTAAGTGACCACTGCGGAAAAGCCCGTATTGACCCAATGAGTATGATTTACTTCACTTTTGAAGCAGTCCACAAGGCAAAGTTTCATTCCTAATTTTTAAGCTTTATCATTAAACTTTTGGCATAAAACAATGTGTTATTATCATCTCCCTTTATTTAGAGGCTTTGAAAAATGAGTCAACAGAAAAGATACTTTTGCAACTTATTATAATTTTTCTTTTTTATCAGCCAGTCAACCATGATGAATTAGATTTGTATAAGAGAAACACTATCCACACTATAAGACACAACAGAAAAGATATTGTCACAACTTTTGTTTGTTTGTTTGTTTCATTTTACGCCTTTCCCCAACAGTATTTCAGTCATATAGGCGGGTAGTTTCCTAACCATCGTTCCTGGAGAGTTACACTAGTACTAGACTACCTTCCTCCGCGCTAAACTACCAAAGCATCATCCGGGGATCAAAGTCACGCCAGAGAGGTAACTGGTTTAGAAGTCATCAATTCTAACCCCTTGACCACGGAGGCGGTTATAACTACAGGTATCACGTTCATGTCTTGAAAATGTTGAAAATGGTAGTGGTGTTGGCAGTGTGTCCACTCAAGAGCACGGCAGTAAGCCACATTAAATTTACCATCTGGGCACAGTTCAGCCACTGCATCGTTCCTGGTCAATCACAACAGAAGTGAATTCTCAGCCAGTCCAAAGCTATACCTATTGAGCTAACCTAACTTTAAAATTCAATCTCTTATAAGTTTATATTAATCATTTACAACCAGTATTAATATAGTGAATTTACATATTTCAAGTTTCATCATCTAATACATGTACAGGCAACATAGAAAATTAACAACTACACAGTATTCTCCCTTTGTATATATAAACTTACATAAGGATTTTGAAGGAGTCACATGCGATCAGCAAAGACGGACAAAACCCAACACTTTGTATTACTAATCTGTGTAGACCATTGATTGACATTAAAATAAGTGACACTTTTGATAATTAATGATATTTGTCTAGTTACTATCATAATTCAATCATATTGTATTGTATATTGAAATAAAATATAAGTTATGATATAATGTACCAATAATTAACATGATCAAAGGAACTATGTAAAATAAAGTAACTATATCAATCTGTAGTGAATAACCTGTTATGTTCTTTTCTAACAAGATCAAAATCATATGAATTGTATTCTCTTGTAATTTTGTTGTGATTAATGCTTCCGAGGGATCACTTTGTTTCCAGATTTTTATACTTCACAACAGCAGGTGTCAAGTGCCGTAAGGCAGCTGTAAAAAGTTGACCAGTACTTCACTTCAGTGTTGTTATATTTTTCTGGTCCTTCGGGATCATTGATGCCAGCACTATTAAGTGTTGAGAATTGAGAACCGCTCAAGCCGGTGCTAGGGGGCGTGAAGGATGTTGCACGTATTCATTATCCCTCATGTACTGACTCAATCAAACCGAGTCTGCAATTCTCTTGTAATTTTGTTATATTTATGCTTCCGAGGGATCACTTTGTTTCCAGATTTTTATAACAAATAATTAGAAAGTGTGGGGTTTTGTCCACTCTATAAAATTCATGTGTGAGGTTTTGTCCACTCTATAAAATTTTGTGGTGGGGGTTTTAATGTGAGGAGTTTTGTCCACTCTATAAAATTTTGAGGTGTGGAGTTTTGATGTGCGTGGTTTTGTCCTACATTCAGCACTCAGCAGATCATCTAAGTCTTATTGATATCTCTAATAAAGTAGGTTAGACTTTCTCCCGAAGACCTCAGGTACCATTCCATTCATTATTTCTGGTAATAGAATGTACTCTTGTAGAACCACCACTCTTTTGTCAGCTGGCTTCATGCTCCCTATAAATGCTATCTATAGCCAAATACAGTGCATCAAATTGTGTAACTCTACGATACAAAATAAATAAACTTATTCAACAGAACAACCAGTGTAGTTATCAGGCATTTTATGTATATTTATTGAAATAAGCTTTCATACATCTAGTTTCGTAAGTTATAACAAGTCTGTAAATAGAATTGTATATATATACAAGTATCAAATCATGGGTATTGCTCGCCAAGCAGTTATGGTGCCTGTCTCTTATTCAAGGGAACTTTAGTTTTAGACCTTTGGGCACGGGGACCATGTTTTCTTATACAACAACAGTTTAGGTAAGCTCCAGAAAGCTGACACAGATATGATTCAAATAAGGTTATTTAATTCCATAAGCTTTCAACACAATTGATGGTAAATATTTACTTTTTCATGCAAGTTTCTACATCAATGAGAAAATTTTCTTTTTAAAGAAATCAGTTCTGTTCATATGTCAAAAACAATGTTTGTTTGACATGAAACCATAACAATTCTATAAAATAACAGAACCATGGCTTACACAATTTATCTATAAACAAATTAATACAAAGTAAATTTTGGCACAAAATGGTCAGTACAGAATTAGTCCTTAAGAAAACTGGGGTACAATTTATTCAATGTCTAAAAGTAACAAATTCAGATTTAAAACAATACAAGGACCTGCTATTTCTAACTAAGTAAAATTTAAACAATATTTACCCTAATTTGCTTAAAAAACAATCCATACCAGTCAAATACAATACTCTTTCACTCTAACTTTATACCATAAATTAAATACATAAGAAACTCTACTTAAGACCACCCAAGAATTAAGACTGCCTTAGACAACCAAGCCATTAAGACCATGTTTTAAAAGAACAGAATTTTCTGTTCTTTATGTCAATGAGAATTAAGACCACTCAATTTATCCACTAATAAAACCACCAGTTTGCTCTCATCAGATTGAATATTATAACATATTTTTGAGTTCCAAACACTTCACAATAAATTTAAACCTCTGTAGAGCCAACACCTCTCTACAACAACCAAAATCTTTAGTCTCCCAAAGGGTGGTTGCTCTGTAAAGGTTGTTGATTTTTACAAAAGCCAAACATCCTCAAAAACAATAACATCTAAATGGTTATTGTTCCGACAAATTTTTACCATAAAAATGTGCATGTATATGATTTGTTTGTTTGTTTGTTTCATTTTAAGCCTTTTCCCAACAGTATTTCAGTCATATAGGTGGGTAGTTTCCTAACAATCGTTCCTGGAGAGTTACACCAGTACTAGACTACCTGATAATAACGTTAATAACAACAGACTAAAATTGAGTTACCTGTACTCTATACAGGTAACAAAGCCTAATCACTCAAGGTATCCAGCATATCAAATGAAATACATGTATTCACACACCCTAATAAAGTTTAAATTTAAAACAGTGTTGCGAGAAGAAAAATAAAGGTTTTAAAAAATCATCACAGTGTTAGCCGGCTTCAGCCTCCTCTGTCTGTACTTCTTCTATCAAGCTAAAGAAACTTGATTCATTAATTTCTACAAATTTTTGTTGTGTCTTGCTCAACATGTACACATTACCACTGTTCACATCATACCATAGTGCATGTAGAAACAGTTTGTTCTTATTAAGTCTCTCTTTCAAAAATGGGTACGCAGAAATATTCTCCAGTTGTTGAATGCAGTTCACCTGCAAAATATGAACAAAAGTAGATTATCAAATACTTTTCAACTGTTACATCATTTCATCTGGTTATAGAGTTCAGTAGAAGCATTCTTTTCCTTTGAAATTGTAAAGTTGTTCTTTCAAATTTAATTGTAAAGTGGTTCATTTGAAAATTGTAAAGTGGTTCATTAGAAACAATCTTTTCTTATTAAATGGGTTCAGTTTATAGCAAACTGGAACAACAGATTCTACCTGGCATGCAACCAATGCAGATCAAGATCAGCCAACACATTCATGCTGTCTGATAATGGTCTACATTATTTGCTATTCAGTCATTACATACATCAGTGTCTATTCATATTTTTGAGAATTCCCCCTATTTTTTCAGAGGCAGAGGGAAAATTTTACATAGAGAAAGAAGGAAAAAAATCAGCAAATGTAATAAATTTTCATTTTTTGATAAAAATATCCCCTATTTTTTTCGAATCCTAGAATAAACACTGCATACATGTATCTTGAAATTAACCATAACAAGAGCAACCGCCAGGCAGGGGTTACGCGCGACTTTTTTACTTTTTCCAAATGCTACCAAAGTACCAAAGTCTTACCTGAGACAATTTATCCACAATATAAAAGTTTTGCTCCGGATCAATCTTGATTTCAAACTTTTTATCCTCTAGGCTTTCTTGAGTGAATGGAACTGGTCCAGTAAAATTATTGGCTTCTGTCAAATAACTGAATTTTTCTAATGTTCTTTTCCCGTGCTTTTTTATCCAGAGTTCAAGAGGTGACCCTGTAGGAACATCTATCTCTGATCTCAGATCAAACAACAAACCCATGGCCTGAAAACAAAAAAAAAATCACAAAACAAGAAAATGTGATGATGGCAAGGGAGGTAATAGATGTAGAACCTGATATTATTATATTGTTGTAACACAATTAATTAACAGATATAAATACAATATTTCTGAACTTTACGATACTGTGGCTGTACTATGCTCTGGTAAATTCAATGTGGATTAGTGCAGAGATCCGGAGTGAAAACTACAAACACCAACCCCACAAGATGAACTTTTCATTTATTAATGTCTCACAAGAACAACAATTCCCATTAAAATGTATATACAGTGTCAGTATTTGTTTAATCACATGTAAAAATTGTAATATACAGTATGTCAGCCAGACTCAACATTTTCATTGTGACACAGTTCTTACTGCATTTGTATAAGTAGCTTTTAATTCATTTACAACACTGTGACATCATTTACACAAAATTACCTGCTTAAAGATAATACTGAAAAAATTCATACATGAAAAACTGCATAAGTGAATATTTTAACATCACAAAAAAATTTGCGAAAACTGTCTTATTGCATGTTGAAATATTTGCTAAAGTACGATTTCCAGAAGTCCCGTAATATTAGCATGTTTGTGATAACAGCTTTTGTTTGATGGTGATGCAGGAAAATCATGTGAATCATTTCAAACAATCATAATATCATAATATGCTGATGGTTTTTCGTCATTATTTCACAGTGTGAAATAATAACTGAACAGTAAATCATGTTACATGTTTGTATTTAGCAAGCTGTTATTTTTAATGGGATATATTTACAATGGATATAGTATCCGGTGCAGCCGTGTAATGGTAAAAATGATGAATGGCCACTGAAGACTTTGCTAAAATGATGTAACTTTTGTGGGCTCAATTATTTCAATATTTTGTTAATTATTCTGGTTCTGTAGACAGTTTCAAAATTGTGTGTAGTGTTAAGTTTGTTTAATACCTTACAATCAGAATGTCCAGCTACAACTACATGCTTCATATTGTTTCGTACACATGTCAATTCTAGCGCCCCCGCAGCAGAGGTTATATTTCCTATCTGATTAAGGTCATCTGGGTAGGGAACAAAATTACCAGCATTTCTGACTATATAATTGTCTCCTAGATCACTATTTGTGTACCTTGACGGGAAGACACGGCTGTCCATGCATCCAAAAATCATTGATAAAGGCTGTAAATTAAAATAAAGTTCATCTTAGGAATTTATAAACAGAAGAGATTCATAAAAGAAGTAACTTACATTGTAATAGATAAATGCAATGTCATACAGAGTTATCTGCATTAAAATATAGGATATTTGTTTGTTTTGCAAGATTGAAATATATTTCACAGAGTGGACACCAGATGTAATATTTTCATGAGTGGCGTAGCCATGAGTGAATCTATAACAACTGGTGTTCACGAGTGAAATATATTTCAATCTTACATGCAAAACACAATGTATGCAGTTATTTACTTGCTTCTCCTAAAGAAGCAAAATTTACATACAGCAGAATTTATTCCTGTTGATAATTCCATTTAGCTATGAAATATTATTTTCATCCCCATTCAAATATAGTCAGGTTTAATAGTGAAAATTATCAAATATAAATTCATTGTGAAAATTATCAAACAAAATTTCATATTCCACTTCAAAGCATGTAATAAATTCTATTGGTCCATATGACAAAAGAATGATTTTGAACAACTATTCTTGTACTTGTACTGTACTACTTGACCTGGTATTGTAACTTTGAATGACAATTTGGTTCCTGAAATGAAATAGTCATCAGCATGATAATCATAAACATGATCAATTTCACACACATACAATCACTAATAAAAAATCTTGATAGTATCTTAAATCTATTTTAACTAACATATAAACTACAGTCTACCATTGCCTATCCTCCAAGTCTCTGATGTTGGCATGTTTACAGATTAGTTCCTGATTTTTCACACAAAATTATATTCATACCCACTGCTGGAATTATAGCCAAAATTTCATTTAAAAAATATTACTTATTAGCAGGGATAACCCATTTAAATAAAGTTGCAACCAATCATATAACTACAGTCGCACAGAGATGACATTTGTACGTTTAACTTTATCATGTGCACACGAGATACTATGTCATGGCCATGAGATACCAAGTTGTGCGTTCAAGATAATTAAGTGGTGCGCACAAGATACTATGTCATGGCCTCGAGATACTAAGTTGTGGGCACAAAATTATTAAGAGGTGCGCACTAGATATTATGTCATGGCCACAAGTTACTAAGTTGTGCGCACAAAATAATTAAGTGGTGCACACGAGATTATACTATGTCCTAGCCATGAGATAAGTTGTGCGCATTAGATAATTTAGTATTGCGCACTAAATATTATGTCGTGGCTACAAGTTACTAAGTTGTGCGCACAAAATAATTAAGTGGTGCGCACAAGATACTATGTCATGGCCATGAGATCTTAGTTGTGCACAGGAGATAATTAAGTGGTGCGCTCTAGATATTATGTCATGGCCACAAGTTACTAAGTTGTGCGCACAAAATAATTAAGTGGGGCACACGAGATACTATGTCCTGGCCATAAGTTGTGCGAAAAAGATGATTAAGTGGTGCACACAAGATATTTAAGTTAATGAGTTGTTACCACAAGTTACTAAGTAGTGTGGAGAAGATAATTAAGTGGTGCGTACGAGATACTATGTTGTGGCCACGAGTTACTTAGTTGTGCACTCAAGATAATCAAGTGGTGCGCACGAGATACTATGTTATGGCCAAGAGTTTTTTAGTCATGCCCATGAGATAATAAAGTTATGGGCACCAGTTACTAAGTGGTACAAATGATTCATCCACAGAAGATAATAAACCGATCAGATTACACTATATATATGAATTTTCTTAGTTAAATGTAAATGTGCCATAGGACAATGGTGCCCCTACTTCACCTGCCTGTCACAGTGCCATATGTACAAGTTATTGATTGGACAATGATTTTACTTTTAGCGTTATTGTGACCCTGATGCAGTATCTTGTGTGCACGAGATAAATAAAAACACACAAATGCCACCTTTGTGCCACTATCTGGTAGTTTTAGTTCTAATTCTTTATTATTATTTTCAACATCACAATGATTATAGCTAAATTTTCTTTTTCAAGTTACACCTACTTGTTTAGTCTGACAGATACATTTTTATTTTGATTTATAAACAAATCAACATCACTAGACTGATTAAAATGTTATATCTTTCTTCAAGACAACCCCAATGAAAAGTCCCTATACTCCCAACCCGAACAAAAAATTGTCTCTAATGGGACAAAAAGACTAAATTTTGCAAACAGGTCACCTATGGTTTAGCCTTGAACTTCGTGCAGTGCTGCTGTCATGCAAGGGCAAATATTCTGATACGTACATTTGGTTTGTTTCCGCAAACTTTCAGTTGAAACATTGTATGCTGTTTGTCAAATAACGAGTATTTGACAATACCCTCCAAAAGTTTTGAAAACCCTCTCATTGTTGTCAAAAAATGTTTTTCGTCTGTGTCGCTGAAAGCTTGCAGTGACCTTGAACTCATTAAGCGCGAAAAGATCATTATAAAAGCGAAAAGTTTCTGTTCTCTGTTTTATCACGGAAACTCTCCCTAAATTCTATTAATCTCTGGTCAAATCGCTACCGGTACAATTAAAGATATTGATTGATTGAAATTAAAATACATAATCTAATTGTTTATTTGAGATTAGATAATACACATTAAACTATATTAAATACGGACCCCGTTAAATACTTTGAGATAATATAAATGTTTGTAAAGTGAGTCTTGTTTTAACTGGTTGTACTTATTTCTGTTCCAAGCATTTGATACAATGTATGATCTTAACCTTAGTTATTTGTATAAATATATCACTTTAATGTTCCTTACGGTAATTTTTGATGAGGTTCTGTGAAGGACTCCATCGTCCACTGCACTCAATTAAGTTGTGCAAATAAATTAGACTGGACTATAATATTCATTTTGCTATCCTTTCTCTTTATAGTAGGGTATTCAGTTGAAAGAACACTCAAAAAGATTATTTGAATTTATTCAGATTTCTAGATAAAGAATTTATAACAACTGAATTGGAAGACGCAATTCTTCCCAGAAAACACCAGAGACATATAGATAACAGAGATAATTAAGCAGCTCCTATAATATTATACTCCACGACAAAACCAACATAATGGGTTCCGCGCAGTCTGATCAGAATCCATGCTGTTCGCTATCAGTTTCTATACTTGTTATACGGTTTGTCAGCGAACAGCATGGATCCTGATCAGACTCCGTGTGACCACAGTATATCACTTACAGTGTGGTGATATTTAGCTTTGCAGAACTATTTTGGCGCACGTTTTAATTTGAACGACGCCGTAATTTTTACGGGGACTAAGTAGAAGTTTATTGTTGCGTTGTATTCTAAATGGCATATTTCTCGATTCCAATAGCATAATTTCTCTAAAATTGAATACTGAAAACATCGATATCGAAGTGAGGAAAAAATCCACATATTCACTGCATACCGGCTAAATATTACTTTTTTCTCACTTCTAGGTGTAATATATACCATTTTCATTCAAAATAAACAGACATCTTCTACACGTAGATATAATTCAGGTTGGTCATAGTCTAATGATGTCAATGATAAATAAAGTATTTCAAAATAAATGTCATTTAAAGAATGTCCATGAAGAAAGCATTATATTTCTTAATGTTACTGCTTTGCCAGCAACTGATGAAGGAGGGGTCACTTATTATGTGTCTTACTGTAATGCTTTCCCGCCAAAAATTCGAACATCGGCCAATATCGTAATAAATGGGTCATTTCCGGAAATTTATTTTTCGCAGTCTCCAGTATTCAATAATTTCTAACCTTTAATAACCGGAATTTACTACATATCGACAAAGGATGAATGATTGTAAATAACCTAATGCCAAAGATTTTGAATAAAATAACGTTCCGGAAATAACCGATTTGCTACGATATTGGCCGAAGTTAGAAGTTTTTTTTGCGGCAAAGCCTTACAGTAAGACTACCTTAAGTAAGATATAATCCATGGTAGCCACTAAAACTAAATACATAAATAACTTCCTCACAAAACTTGCATTACTAGTTAACCATAAACAAAGGTCAATATATACAATATATACAAAGCACAACATTAGACTTGGTAAGTTCTGGTAAATTAGTATGTACCTTATATGTACCTGTATACCACTGGAACCACTTAAGAGTCTCTGTTGTCCTTCTCCCTATCTGAGAGCAATTCCTAATATTGAACATGTCTCATGCTAAATGTCCAGCATCCCGATTGTAAAGTAAGGAAAAACGAACAAACAAACAAAAACCAAACAATTCAAAGCAGTAAAATAATATTCGTAATGATAACATATATAACGTCGCACGTACCCGAAGTGTTACAGATCCAGGTTTTTCACCTTATTCAGGAACGCCATAGTTAAAACGTGTGCAGGACGTAAAGTACGAAAGTCATGACGTAATTAAAGAACGTAAAGCAGGACGAAAAGCTTATCCCGTGAGATAAGGGAGGTAATAGAAATAGTACCTGATATTATATTATTGTAACATTAATTAACAGATATAAATACCATGTTTTTGAACTAACAAATATTTGCTAAACTACGGTTTCCAGAACTCCCGTAATATTAGGACACTTGTGATAACAGCTTTTGTTTGACGGTAGTGCTGGGACAAACATGCGTATCATTTTAAACAATCATAATATCATAATATGCTGATGGTTTTTCGTTATTATTTCACAGTGTGAAATAATAAATGAACATTAAATCAGGTTATATGTTTGTATTTAGCAAGATGTTTTTTTTAATGGGATATATTTACAATGTACATAGTATCCGGTGCACTGGTGTAATGGTTAAATGATGAATGGCCACTGAAGACTTTACTAAACTGATGTAACTTTTGTGGGCTCAATTATTTCAATTTTTTGTTAATTATTCTGGTTCTAATTGTGTGTAGCGTTAAAGGCACAGTATGCATCAGAAATACATATTTTATTTAATTCTTAAGAAGTGTTAAACATGGGTTAAAAAATGTTTGAGTAATTGATTTAAAGCATATTAGAAGTTTAGCTCTTGAAGAAAGTAACGCTGAATTTCTATTAAATCTTCCTATTAAAGTGTAAAGTAGTTCTTTACAAACATTCTTTTCCTATTAAATTGTATTAATAATTTCTGTCCTATGGCATGGCATTTCTGTTCAGAAAATAATACAAACAAGATGGAAAAACTACAGGAAAGAGCACTCAGATTTGTATATAATGATTTTAATTCAAGTTATGAAGATATGCTAATAAAAGTTAATATACCAACTCTAAAAATAAGAAGAATGAGGGCTATGGCCATTGAAACTTTTAAAATTTTTCATGATATGTCTCCTGCTGTTCTGTCTGACCTTATTGTCAAGAAAACTACTGGTATTAATTTTAAATATTCAAATATTTTGCAGATCCCTCAAGTAAGAACTACAACTACAGGTAAAAAATCTTTCAGGTATGCTGCACCTGCTTTATGGAATACTCTACCCGAAAATTTTAGAAAATGTTCAAATTTTGCTCAGTTTAAAAAGTTAATTTCATCCTGGAATGGTAAACAGTGTAAATGTATTGCTTGCAGCTAATTTCTATATCTTGATTTACTCCACTTTTTTATTTATTTTTCTGGGTATGAACATTTTCTTTTGGGTCACATTTATCATTTAGCTTCTTCAGTTGTTTTTTTTCTTGCTTGCTTTAAATGTGTTTTTGCTTTTCTTCCCTGCTTATGTTAATATTATCATTTAGTTTCTAGATAGGATGTTGCTTTATTTTGTGATCTTTTGTTTTGATTTTGCTTTTTGTTTTGTTGTTTTTTTTTTGTTGTTTTTTTTTGCTTATCTTTTCCAGCATGACTCAAGCTAGCTGTTAAATGAGTTCAACTAATGACTTACATGTTTAATACCTTCTGTCTTTGTGTAGTCTGATAATCCATAGTCTTTCATATTTAACTTATATATAAAAATGTATGTTTTTTTTTTAGTATTTTTATTTATTTATTTATTTATTTAAATAATTCATTAAATTTTTAATTGATTACTCGGTATATTATTGAACTTTAAGTAAATTTTTAGATACTAGACTTTGCTAGTGATGTAGATTTGGGTAAACTATCATTTTTAGTTTTTTAGCATATGATTCGTTTTTATAAATATATCCTAAAAGGTCTATTTTATGCATGTGATGTATATATATCATGTCTAATCATTTTTTATTGTAGCTGTTTTATCTTTGTTGATCTTATACTTTATGTTATTTACAGTCGGTTATAAAAGCTCCTAGAGCTTATGTTGTAATGTTGAAAACTTGCCGACTTGAAATAAAACTTATCTTATCTTTATCTTAATTAAGTTGTTTATTCCTTCTTTTTTTCAAGTCAGTAAAATTTTATATGAAAAACACCTTGTATAAAATATGTATACACCGGTATCGTGGAGACCCGGGCTAACTGTTGTCTATCTGGTAAATTGAAATGGGAGTTGTGTGCTAGGAAGTTTTAGTTCTAATTCTTTATTATTATTTTCAACATCACAATGATTATTATCAGATGAGGCAGTTAAATTTTCTTTCTCAAGTTACACCTACTTGTTTAGTCAGATACATTTTTATATTTTGGTTTATAAACAAATCAACATCAATAGACTGATTAAAATGTTATATCTTTCTTCAATGAAAAGTCCCCACTCCCAACCCGGACAAAAAATTGACTCCCATGGGACAAAAAGACTAAATTTTGCAAACAGGTCACCTATGGTTTAGCCTTGAACTTCGTGCAGTGCTGCTGTCATGCAAGGGCAAATATTTTGATACGTACATTTGGTTTGTTTCCGCAAACTTTCAGTTGAAACATTGTATGCTGTTTGTCAAATAACGAGTATTTGACAATACCCTCCAAAAGTTTTGAAAACCCTCTCATTGTTGTCAAAAATGTTTTTTCGTCTGTGTCGCTGAAAGCTTGCAGTGACCTTGAACTCATTAAGCGCGAAAAGATCATTATAAAAGCGAAAAGTTTCTGTTCTCTGTTTTATCACGGAAACTCTCCCTAAATTCTATTAATCTCTGGTCCAATCGCTACCTGTACAATAAAAGATATAAATAGATTGAAATTAAAATACATAATCTAATTGTTTATTTGAGATTAAATAATACACATTAAACTATATTAAATACGGACCCGTTAAATACTTTGAGATAATATAAATGTATGTAAGGTGAGTCGATCTTGTTTTAACTGGTTGTACTTATTTCTGTTCCAAGCATTTGATACAATGTATGATCTTAACCTTAGTTATTTGTATAAATATATCACTTTAATGTTCCTTACGGTAGTTTTTGATAAGGTTTTGTGAAGAACTCCATCGTCCACTGTACTCAATTAAGTTGTGCAAATAAATTAGACTGGACTATAATATTTATTTTGCTATCTTTTCTCTTTATATATAGTAGGGTATTCAGTTGAAGGAACACTCAAAAAGATTATTTGAATTTATTCAGATTTCTAGATAAAGAATTTATAACAACTGAATTGGAAGACGCACTTCTTCCCAGAAAACACCAGAGACATAGATAACAGAGATAAGCAGCTCCTATAATATTATACTCCATTGAAATATCACTCATGCCAATCAAAAAGTGAAAAAATAGGCATTTTGTAGCAAATAAAACTAAATGGATGTACGTTTGATCCTTTAATATTATATACCATTTGAAAGGTAAATCTTTTATCTATTGCTGCATGTTAAAATATTGGTAACTTTCCATACCTTTCACTCAGAAAAACATAGCAGAACATACCCACTGAGCCAGTTTTTTTGTCCTATGAATAGTTTTGTAACAAAAATTATTACGTAGTTCTCTTTAAAAATTGATGTATCATTTATTTTAATGGGAACTGTAAATATTTTTACCTGCAGCCATAAACAAAAGCTTTCAGAAAATGTATTATTTTACTGATTTTCTGGTTAATAAGTTTTACTTGCTACAAGTTTTAAGTTTAGCAGGCACGCATGATATTTTAACTGGCTAGGAAGTTGCCTATCTCTGTTATCTATGTCTCTGAAAACGTGCTATATCATAAATAACAAAGGTTTGAATATTTGACAAATGAGCCGCGTGACGACAAAACCAACATAGTGGGTTTGCGACCAGCATGGATCCGCGCAGTCTGATCAGGATCCATGCTGTTCGCTATCAGTTTCTCTACTTGTAATAGAGTTGGTAAGCGAACAGCATGGATCCTGATCATACTGCGCGGATGCGCAGGCTGGTCTGGATCCATGCTGGTCGCAAACCCATTATGTGACACGGCTCAAATAGTGTTTCATATAAATTACATATTTCAGAATAACAGAACAGAAAAGAACAGTTCAAAACAGAGCAGAGCAGAACAAAACAGAACAGGTTTTATAATACAATATGACTTGAACAGCTTCTCGTCGACATTAAACAAATATGTAGCATATATTAAATACATAGCCTGAGTTCCAGTCTGTCGATTTTTATGTGCTTCTGTTCGGATATTATCCAAAAAAAACAGAAGAGTATGAAATATCGTGTTTTTATGAATAAGCAAAAAATATCAACGCCTTAATCCCAGGCTATTAAATACAATTTTAAAATACAAACATACAAATTAATCAGTCATAGACATGTATAACAATCATTATATTAACCATGTTTCAACATTAAAGAAATAGAACAAATTTATTTTATATTTGCCAGTGACATATTGTGTTCTATCCGTTTGATAAAAGCCATATCATCTACAGTATATAACTTAATTATAGTATGGTGATATAGCTCTGCAGAACTATTTTTGGCGTACGTTTTAATTTGAACGATGCCGTAATTTTTACGTGAATTAAGTAGAAGTTTATGTTGAGTTGTGTTCTAAGTGGCATATTTCTCGATTCCAATAGCATAATTTCTCTAAAATTGAATACTGAAAACATCGATATCGATATCGAAGTGAGAAAAAAATCCACACATTCACTGCATACTAGCTATTACTTTTGTCTCACTTTTAAGTGTAATATATACCATTTTCATTCAAAATAAACAGACATCTTCTACACGTAGATATAATTCAGGTTGGTCATATGTAGTCTAATGATGTCAATGATAAATAAAGTATTTCAAAATAAATGTCATTTAAAGAATGTCCATGAAGAAAGCACTATATTTCTTAATGTTACTGCTTTGCCAGCAACTGATGAAGGAGGGGTCACTTATTATGTGTCTTACTGTAATGCTTTCCCGCCAAAAATTCGAACATCGGCCAATATCGTAATAAATGGGTCATTTCCGGAAATTTATTTTTCGCAGTCTCCAGTATTCAATAATTTCTAACCTTTTATTACCGGAATAATTTACTACATATCGATAAAGGATGAATGATTGTAAATTATCTAGCTAATGCCAAAGATTTTGAAAAAAATAACGTTCCGGAAATAACCGATTTGCTACGATATTGGCCGAAGTTAGAAGTTTTTTTGCGGCAAAGCCTTACAGTAAGACTACCTTAAGTAAGATATAATCCATGGTAGCCACTAAAACTAAATACATAAATAACTTCCTCACAAAACTTGCATTACTAGTTAACCATACACAAAGGTCAATATATACAATATATACAAAGCACAACATTAGACTTGGTTCATCCTAACTGGTAAGTTCTGGCAAATTATTATGTACCTTGTATGTACCTGTATACCACTGGAACCACTTAAGAGTCTCTGTTGTTCTTCTCCCTATCTGAGAGCAGTTCCTAATTTTGAACATGTCTCGTGCTAAATGTCCAGCATCCCGATTGTAAAGTAAGGAAAAAACAAACAAACAAACAAAAACCAAACAATTCAAAGCAATAAAATAATATTCGTAATGATAACATATATAACGTCGCACGCCCCCGAAGTTTTACAGATCAGGAGTTTTTTTACCTTATTCAGGAGGGCCATAGTTACAACGTGTGCAGGACGTAAAGCACGTGTAATATAAGTCATGACGTAATTAAAGAACGCAAAGCAGGACGAAAAGCTTTTCCCGTGAAACATGTTCAATATTAGGAATGTACGTCCTGATTTTCGTGTTTTTCGTCCTGCTTTACGTACTTTACGTCATAATTCACGTGCTTTACGTCCTGCACACGTTTTTTACTATGACGTTCCTGAATAAGAAAATAAACGTATAAATTAGGTAAAACAATCAAAAGGCATACAGGTGAATTTCATATACATTTGTACTCACATAAGGCCTCAACAGACGGTAGGATTTATTTGTACAACACTAATAAGAGATATGATGTACAATTTTCAAAGCAATACAACACTTGCATTCAGACCGTAATTCTGCATTGTATGAATCATTAGGTTTCCCTAAAAAACAGTTCACTCCCAATTGATTCTTTACATACTTTACTATCTAAAATATCATTTTTTTTTTCTATGAGTAATGATTGAAACACCTCCATTTCGTTAAAAAAATGTCTATAATTGTCACAGGGCGAGATTATTGTGCAGCCCGATCGAGACTCGAACCTAGGACCCTCGGAATACCGTACTGCGCTCTACTGACTGAGACTACAAACTATCTTCCCTGATTAGAGAACAGTTCAATACCGTTACATAATCATTTTCTGCATAATTTGGGATTCCAACATACCACAACTTTGGGTCTCCTGAAGAGTTTTTTCAACATCATTTTTACCCCAACTTACAACTATGTTCACCTTTTAGCCCTAATGATTCTTGAATTTCATTCATTAAACACATTATTAGGGATTAATTTGGAAATATGTCACCTGTCACCGTGGGAGGTCTGTACAGCAAGTATTGAGATATAGAACATGTCCTATCCTGTAAATCTAGTATTAAGTTGTATAAATTCAAGAAATAGTAGCCTTCACATATTAAGATTTGCTTGTACATCTTAGTTTTAATTGGCAATGTACTGCAAAATCCTACCGTCTGTTGAGGCCTATATTGATATAGATACACGTATAACAGGACAGTCAAAATACATAGGTCATATTAAGTCATATACTCATTCCAGTTAATTTCTCACACAAAAAAAGGTTTTAGTTTTGCCATTGTAATCGTATATGATTTTATTCGGAACATACCTACTATTACCCATAATAGTACTCATTTGCCTAAGTATGATGGAAAAATGCTGAAGTGTTGCGGCTATTATGAACAGCTTGAACAGTTTATTTTTGGTTATTAAACAAAGTCTCCTCGTCCGAAAAGGCAACTCTGTGATCGTCTGCGTAAGAATAAAAATTACCATGTCGTTCAGGTGCTTTTTCATTTTTAACAATCAAAACTTTTCTCTGTCCAACTTGTGGTGCATCTGCGTCCTTCCGTTGTTTGTCTTCTAGTTTCGCTTTTTGCTCAACTGCGTAGAATTCTTTCATCCATTTCTGTAGATACTGATGGCTTGTCTTCTCGGTGATGTCTAAATCTAAATATCCAGATGGATCGTAATGCTCCATGGAAATTTTTCTTTTGTCGTTTTCAAGGTTGTGTTTGTCTCCTGACACTCTCAGAATGCTTGTAATTTCGTTCGCTTTACTCTTGTTCGGTATTTCAGGTAAACGCTGCTCTTGCTCAACCTTATTCTCAATGTGTTTACATTCTGTGTTGTTTTCAGCTATCTTTTCCTTTGTTATAATATCTACATCTTTTACAGCGTTATAGATTACGGGGTCAACTTTGTTCGCACTTTTCGCTTTTGGTAGTGACTTTTGTTTCCTTTGGTCGATTGCGTTTACATTCGGTTTTCGTCGATCATTATCATTTGAATCACAAACTTTTTCCAGACATATTTTCATCTTAAAACTTTGCTGAGATGTTTCATCCGGCATCACGTAATGACGATAATCCGAAATACTTCCAATTTCTGCATATGAATGACTTAAACTGTAAAAAAAAATGTTTGGTAAACTTTTATAATATGTTCTTATTTCTGTGGCATGCAAAATACAACTGGCATAATATTTATCCATAAAGATCCCTGGAAATATGTAACATTTGTTGTTTTGATTATTTTTGGGTGATATTTTCATATAAAGAGCAAACGATAGGAAACCATTTAATTAGTATTTATAAAAATCAAGCACATTTTCTTTGAGTGATATAAATGATATCATACTTTGCACCCGCTGTTTTTTATCAAGACAAATATATATTAATATACATATAGATGCATGGAACCGATGTCAACACATCTGTTATGAGTAAACCGACAAGCGCAGACCAAAATAATTCGGCATATATGTGCCATCTGCAGGGCCATGGTTTGCGGGCTGCGTTGTTCCCTATTCAGTCGGTTCATACCGTTACGAACTTATTTTTTCCTTAAAAAGACGAATGGTTTACACCAAATTAAAAGATAGGCAAGTTCATTAAATTTGAGACATTAAGGTAAGACAGGAGTTATATTGTTAAGATAATTTACATTGTAATCTGTTGTGTTCAATACCTATCAGTGCAGTTCACCGAGAATGATGCCTGCATATTTCTTGCATATTTTTTGGCAGAAGTCGGCAAAATGTCTTTCTTGTTTGCCTTTGTTCCTGTTTAAAAATACATTTAGACATTTGAGAGAAGATTTGTTTTGACATAACGTACATACACGTTCAAATAACATGAGCACAAAAACCACGGCATGCACACCAACACCAGGGATAACACAAAAAAGGGTAAATTCTTATTCCCATTGCAGTCCCTATGCTAGCTAGTTTCTGTGTATAAGGAGTACATATATGATGCCAGATATGATTACAATCAGGAGAATTAATGAAAATCCATGAAAAAAATATAATACAATGGCTGTTGTTGACAACTGTTAGGTGTATGATCTAATATTACATATCTATACACAGCAGATAACAAAATGTCCATGTACAAAATATTATGCACCATACAATTGTTCATACTATATCTTTTAGACATTTGTCAACATATTTCTATTAGATATTGTACAAGAACATCCACAGGAAGCATTTCTATTGTTTTTTATCAATATTTTAAACACTTATGGAAAACTTTATGGAAATTTTAGACTACTTTAATTTAAAGTAACACTACTAGTATTTGTGTAAAGTGTATTAGATATACTTGTCTGTTGTTAATTATCAAGAAGGCAGTTTTAATTTCTACTTTAAGCAAAGATATATAACCCTACTATAACAATATATAAGAAAATAATGAATTATGGTCTGGACACTCTTGATTATGCCAACAACATTATAGGATATCTATTCATTTCACAACTTTATGAAATTTAATCAATATACTTCTGGACAGCGTTCTAAGCACCATCGTCGGATACCCGCGATTGATAAACATGTCACATAACATGCAATCAATGTTAATGATTCGGCCGTGGGTATCCGACGATGTCTAAGCACGTGATGTATTAAAGGAAATCAATATTGGATACAATCTTCAAAATTAGCCTGTTTTCGTTTCCCGAGTCAAAAAAAAGATCCATACAAATTCCATATTGTACTCCGTCTAGCCTCGTTTTCATTTTCCGAGTTCAAAGAATTCATTAAATCTGTATTTTACTCGGAGAAACACAGTTCTGTCAAAATATTAAAAATTGATGATTTGAAGTACAGAAGTCATTATACATAATTGTTAAATGCAGGACTGATTATATTGGATCCGTATCAGGCTGCAAAACCTAAATTGGACTTGACTACCGCCTCTTCCAATAAAGGTTTTGACAGCTGTGTACTCGTCTAATCAAATCAAGTATTGTATTTAATTTAGTCACCTCAATTTATGTCCCTGATTATGCAAACGTTCATTTAAAGAGCAGTCTAGAATAGATAAAATGTATTTCATCTCCTTATAGGGGAAATACGAAGCTCTTGCTGATGAAGCTGAGCTCACTATTCTATTTCGGGATAAAAGATACAATAAACGTATATCGTATGGTTCTTACCTTGTTTTTTCTTCAAAAAGACAACAATAATAACAATAATCAAAATGGTGGACATTGCTGTTACTGTTGCTGTAATTGCATATCCTGATAAATGTGTTGTTTCTGGTGTTTGCTTATCTGGTGTTGACGTATCAACATTTGAGGGAGACGCTTTTTCTGTAATGTATAACATTTTTGTCCAAAAATAAATGAGCCGAATCGCGACAAAACCAACATAGTGGGTTTACGACCAGCATGGATCCAGACCAGCCTGGGCATCCGCGCAGTCTGATCAGGATCAATGATGTTCGCTAGAAGTTTCTTTACTTGTTATAGGGTTTGCAAGCGAACAACATGGTCCTGATCAGACTGCGCATGCTGGTCTGGATCCATGCTGGTCGCAAACCAATTATGTTGGTTTTGTCGTGACACGGCTCAAATATTCAAACAAACCGATGAAAAAAAACCCAGATGTTGTGATAATAGAGCTAATGTGAATGTCAAGATTGCAGCAGTTGCTTGTCGCACTTGCTAAAAAAGTTAATCTTTAGAAATGTCCGAGTCTCGGTTGGGCTGCTCTTTATTCTAACCCTGGGACATCTGTTTTGGAACACAGCCGATGTATAGGTAGAAATAGTGCATGAAACAGTCTTAAAAGTTTAAAAGTGAAAATTACAGACTCGGTTTGATTGGTTTGGATTCATGAGTGATAGTGTAAATTTCAACGCCCCACCCCCCACCCCTTCAGCACCGGCTTAAGCAGTATTCAACCTTCAATTCAATAAAGTATTAGAGTCGTTGCTGTCAAAGAACCAGAAGATATAATATCTTCAATGAAGAAAGCTAACTTTGATTTAACAAAAAGTAAACGGAATATAATAGGGTTTTGTGTAGTTATTTAGCAAATAAGGTTTTCTTACTTTTTTTTCATTTTCAGTCTTATATTTATCAAGAAATGTATGTTGGTTTATTTTTGCTGAAGAAATTATGAATAGATGCATTGTTTCAATGGTGATAAAATAAATGTATACATAACTTTAAACTTACTCTTTTCTTGTGGCTTGATAGCTTGATTTTCACTACAGTTTAAGGACATATCGCCAAGAACTGAAATAATAAAATACTTCAAATTAATATCTCGTGACTAATTAGTACAATATACATGTATATGAGCACAGTTAAACAAAACTATATGAATCGTCAAACATATTCGCTTAAAAGATTTAAGTTTCATGGTATATGTAATTAGGGGCGAGTGAAAGATTACCCTTTTCAACACTGGACTAATGACCATGACATCAAACATTTAACAATATATACATACTATTTGATGATAAATTCAAAAAAAATCTCGAATTTTAATTAAATGACAAGCTGTATATACTATGTATTATTCTTGTTTAAACCGTAAAAGATTGGGTGAAGGGGTGGAGCACCGGACTCCTAATCTTTTGATCGTGGGTTCGAATCTCCAACCAGAGGTTAGCTTCTCTTTCGGCTTACTGTAGCGAAACTTGTGTCATTTCTGGTCTTGAACACAGGAAAGCAGCCATCCGGTGTGATTCAAAAGCGGACAGTCAAGGCCCCTAAATAGAAGTTTGACAATAGAGGATAAATAAAATAAGCTAAAGTTCTTATACACTTAAAACAAATTAAACATACTTGAGAATGAAAATTGAAGAAGAAGAAATGGAACACCGTTGTGAGGTTCTGTGGCATAATCCACAACAAACGTCTGTTTGCTTCTATCGTTGCCATTTGTAATTTCACTTCGAATTAACACTTCGTTATTGTAACGTGTTACTTTTCCTCCACTTTTAACTTTCAGAGTCATACTTGAAATTTAAAGAATAGATCTACTCAATTTTATCATTTTACATATTGATATTCTGGAACTTTTAACAATAAGCATAAACGGGGACTCCATTGAGATTTTCTTTGACATTACGGAAGTAGAAATTATTTTCGCGATTAATGTTCGATTTGATATTGTTATAGACCAATTATTTGTGTGCAAAATTTTCGATTATTCACTCATTCCATTTTCAAGAATAATTATTCGAATTGTGAAGAATGACTCAAAATTGAAAGAGCTTCAAATCTGGCTAAGAAAAGTACAAAAATACGATTTTTAATATATTTTTGAGTATATTTATCATTATTTTTGCATATCTTTCTGTTTTGAGCACCGCAGCAGATCTAAGAAAGAAATTAAAATTACAAAAATGTATATATTTTTAGGTTTTTTCACCTCAATGAAGTTCCTTGATTACACAAATATGTCGTAAATTTATTAAAGTGTACAAGGAACGCTTCTAGGGAACGTTGTCGAGCAGCGAAAAAAATAAAAAGACGAATAAAAGTCATAAAAACTACCGTTTTCCGGCTCAATATAAAAATCAGACAATATTTAACTGATAATATTACCAATTTCTTGTGGAAATAACGTTTAACCGATAAATTCTGGTTTTTCTTTAAATTTGACCTTTAATACAAGGGACAGACAATCATGCATATGCTAACTATGTCAATTCCTTAAACTATTAAAGTGATAATGATTTTACCAAGTCATAGGGCTTATTTAGTGCACTTTAAATAAAGCTAATAGCTATTAAGTGTACCTTTTTGTTGGGAATATTGTCAGGGTTGTCTCGATGTGTCCGTTTGTTTCAACATCACATATACACAGCTTTGTAGTGTTTCCGTCGCTTTTGAAGATGAGGTCAACACCATTTGGATTTCCATAAAATGTTTTTAGAGTAAAACTTTGATGGCAAAATTGCAGGAACGAATCATCTACATGTACAAATGTTAATTACATCGATAAGTTTGTCAATAATTTGAATACCTTTGATTTGTGTTTCAAGATTATTCATTGATACTTTAGAGTTTGATTAATCAACATAAGATTAAATGTTGTAAAATGTTGAATACTGATATTTGACAGTTTTAAATATAAGTAAATAAGTACATTAGACTGTCGCATTGTGGTTGCTGCACTGTCTGTCTAAGGTCACCAATCATGTCCCTAATTAACGTCAACAGCTGTGTCTCCCTTACGTTAACACCGTGTCTCTCTAAGGTCACAAAATATTTCTCACAAACGTCAACAACCATGTCTACATAAGGTCGCCGACCGTGTCTCACTCACGTCACTAATCATGTCTAACCTCATCAACCCTGTCTCTCTCAGGTTACCAACCATGTCTTTCTAACGTCACCAAAAAAAGTGTGTTTCTAACGTCACCAACATGTCTCCCTAACATAACCAACCATGTCTCTCTAACTTTACCAACCATGCCTCTCTACCTTTTCCAACCATGTATCTCTAACTTTACCAACCATGTCTCTCTACCTTTACCTACCATGTCTCTCTACCTTTACCAACCATGTCTCACTACCTTTACCAACCATGTCTCTCTCACTTTACCAACCATGTCTCTCACTTTACCAACCATGTCTCGCTAACTTTACCAACCATGTCTCTCTACCTTTACCAACCATGTATCTCTACCTTTACCAACCATGTCTCTCTCACTTTACCAACCACGTCTCTCTACCTTTACCAACCATGTCTCTCTACCTTTACCAACCATGTCTCTCTAACTTTACCAACCATGTCTCTCGAACTTTACCAACCATGTCTCTCGAACTTTACCAACCATGTCTCTCTACCTTTACCAACCATGTCTCTCTACCTTTACCAACCATGTCTTTCTGGCTTTACCAACAATGTCTCTCTTCCTTTACCAACCATGTATCTCTAACTTTACCAACCATGTCTCTATTACTTTACCAACAATGTCTCTCTAACTTTACCAACCATGTCTCTCTAACTTTACCAACCATGTCTTTCTACCTTTACCAACCATGTCTCTCGAACTTTTCCAACCATGTCTCTCTACCTTTACCAACCATGTCTCTCGAACTTTACCAACCATGTCTCTCTACCTTTACCAACCATGTCTCTCTCACTTTACCAACCATGTATCTTAACCAACCATGTCGCTCTACCTTTACCAACCATGTCTCCCTACCTTTACCAACCATGTCTCTCTACCTTTACAAACCATGTCTCTCTAACTTTACCAACCATGTCTCTCTAACTTTACCAACCATGTCTCTCTCACTTTACCAACCATGTTTCTCTAACTTTACCAACCATGTCTCTCGAACTTTACCAACCATATCTCTCTCACTTTACCAACCATGTTTCTTTACCTTTACCAACCATATCTCTCTAACTTTACCAACCATGTCTCTCTCACTTTACCAACCATGTCTCTCTAACTTTACCAACCATGTCTCTCTAACTTTACCAACCATGTCTCTCTACCTTTACCAACCATGTCTCTCTACCTTTACCAACCATGTCAATCTCGCGTCACCAACCACAATTATTTCTCTGTCAAGTATTAGATTCTTTTCATGGAAATAGGTATAATTTACCTGGAAGACAGTTGTATTCAATTGCGATGCCATGGGATTTATCGTTTGGAAAACGTTCTGAAAAATGTGGAATGTTACAATAACTTTTAGCCACACATCCTGCGAGAATTTTGTGCCACATTGCTTTTCCCAAAGCGTGAAGTACCTCTGGTACTGTCGCGGATTTGTTGTTTGCACATGTATATGTTTTATCTGATTCAAAACCCCATCCATAGACAATATTGATTTTGGAATCACCCTTGCACTGTAATTCTATGTTGATTTGATGTTGGTTAAACGTACACAAGAATACATGATTGAGTCCAACAATGCTTTGGCACGTGCACAAAATACCTGAAGCAAACATATTTTATCAAATTATCAAGAGTAAATAATGAATAATACTTAAAGATATAAAAAATATTCTAATTTTATAATCAGTCAATAAAGTAGACACATACGTTCGCCTCGTTTTATAACCATTTGTTGCTACAACAGGCATGCATTACCAATTATTGCTCACACGCATTTTACACGCGCCTTATTATGTAACCAAATCTTGCTTAAATGGAAAGGACTAGAAAGCACAATATATAAGGCCACACGCCTTTATCTATAAAATCTAATTATTGTTAGGACGGGGAACATCCATGCGCCTTATTTAACAAAATACTGCCAAAAGGAACATACACGCGCCTTGTTCTATAACCAATTTTTCCTAAAATGAATCAACATGCACCGTTTTATATATCCAGTTCTTGTCAAAACGGAGCTTACACGCACATTGTCCTTAACAAAATATTGTTAAAAACGACCGTAGGTACAAGTTTATATGTTACTAGCGAAACTTACACAAGCCTTATTGTGTATAATTAACCACTGCTAAAACGGAACATTCAAGCACGTTCTTTTATAACCAAACATAGCTAAAACGGAACATTCACGCACGTTTTTTTATAACCAAACAAAGCTAAAACGAAACATTCAAACACGTTCTTTTATTAAAACAAAGAACATTCACGCACGTTCTTTTATAACCAAACATAGCTAAAACGGAACATTCACGCGCGTTCTTTTATAACCAAGCATAGCTAAAACGGAACATTCACGCGCGTTCTTTTATAACCAAACATAGCTAAAACGGAACATTCACGCACGTTCTTTTATAACCAAACATAGCTAGAACGGAACATTCACGCACGTTTTTTGTAACCAAACATAGCTAAAACGGAACATTATTCTATAATATAACCAGTTACTGCTAAAATATGGTAAAAAAGATCATCGAAGAAAGGCGGCGTTCAATGAACGCAACCACTACACGACCCAGCTACAAGAACCAATTGCAAGAAGCCCAGGAAGGAAGGCCCCGAACAATAACAGAAATATACATGTTGCAATTTTAAGAACATCATGTTACAAAATGACGGGCAGAACACATACAAAAATACAGCTTTATGAAATCTACTCTAAGGAATTCTGACTATATGTTATATCTATATTTGTAAAAATGCATATACATGTATACACATATCAAATAATACCATGCCGTTATTACAAAATACATACATATTAAGGTTGCCCTCGTTTTGTAAGTCATCCTGGAAACGTAAAAAAATAACTATCAAAACACAATCACAAAGATTTATGTTACTGCGCGCTCACTCTGTAACGACGTTCGTAACTCTAATAAACTTATGACAATTAAGGCTAATAATTTGTAATTATCAATGTATCCGAATCTCCTTAATAAACGTGATTACACAAATACATGCTGACATACATGTGTGTTTCATCTGAATTATTATATTTTTTGAACCAACCACTTCCACCGCGATGCCCCTTGTGACTGAGGGTTGAGGCATAAGAATTACAGCCACTCTTTATCCCTTCGTGATCATAATTGGCGACTAAATGGGTTTGTATAACTATGCAACTCTGAACTCCAGAAAGTGGGGATGGTTTTGACCCCTGGTGTTGCGTTGATGTTTCTAACAACTGAGGTAAGCCAAAAACATCTTTCCTGTTTCGGTGCCATATGACCTATACTGTATTGGTGTGCCTTAAAACCAAACAAACAAACAAATAACGAAATAGCAGAAATAAAGCATCATAATTATGTATGTTGCGCCTAGCAATATCTTTCTAAATAGCAAAGCCTGCCATTTTCACTCTTTTATTTTTGTTTCATGGTTCTCAAACTATCAACAATTTGGCAAAACATAGATTAAAATAGGTTCGTTTCTTGTACTATATGGATATAATTATGAATTATATTCTGTAAATATCTTAATCATGTTTACGAAACTTTTAAATCAAAACGGATGTCATGCAACCACTTAATGCTACACAGACTATTAAGAGGCAACTTTTCGGAATTTATTAATCACACGGAAATTTAGGCAAATAAGTTCGTTGAAAAGTCATCGACTATCCCGTTGACCTTGAAAGGTTTACAATGTGCTACGTGCAAGTTTTACATGTAAGATCTTTCTTGAAAAAAAAGCTGTAATTTTAAGTCTTTATTTTAAAGTGTGTAACAATTTCGAATCACTGACAAAAACTTTAAAAAAGAAAAGAAATAACGTAGCATGAACTTTTACAGTAAAAAATATCTCCTTTATGAACCTAGAAAATTCCAAAATAATGTGTTTGCTTGGACGTAATAATGTGTCAGATACATCTATTTATGAAGAACATTTGTGTTGATCGTTACAATTTTACAGTGACACAAATTGTTTACTGTTATTCACATATAATCTAACAGAAACACGTGTAATACGTGTAACAGCTAGGGAATGAGGATATCTTTCTTGGTAACATTATATACATGAAAGCTTTGCCAAATTCAGGTGTTCGAGTCATAAACTGGGTAACAAATTTGGTAGACATATTAATATGGGGATACCCAGAGATGAAAGACTATGTACCTATTGTCTTGAGCAGCAGATAACAGTAGTAGAGGATGAATTTCATGTGAGTGTAAAAAGTATTCACTGGCGAGAGATCTATATCTGGGTAATATGTTGCATAATACATTAGATGTTTTTTTATGGTAAAATGTCTACAAATAACAAACAAAAATTGTGAAATATATGTAGATTTGTACATAAATTGTAAAATGAACGTTTCTTGCTTCTCACTATATAAAAGTTTTCTAAAGTAATTCTACAACATTGTCAATTTTGATATTATAAATGTATTATAGGCCAGTAGCCTTCCTATACAAAATAAAATGTTGTTATTGTTATCAATATAGGTTTATCTTTCAATATACATGTACATGTATTTTAATTGATTCATAATTATTCTGTCCTCGAGATACGTAAAAAGGATTTGCGTCAGCGTTTTCAAAATATGGCATACATAGATATGAATATATATAGCATTGTAAACAAGGGACATATGCACTTGAAATATTTATAATCTAATTATCTCATCATTACTTCGTTAATTACTTATTTCCTCAAAACTCATCTCGTCAGCAGTATAGTGCAAAGTTGAAGTGATTTTAAATATGATTTCTATATAAATACTTGTAGGTTGATCAGAACTAGGAAGTAACATCATTAATCAGAATTTATTTTCAACTTAAATCAAAGGAAATCACCGTCATAAAATTCCCATGGAAAAAAATCCAAAATACCAGCCCACGATTGAGAATATAATCACATGAACACTACTTATCATGATTTACAACAAAACTCCCAAATGTTTACGAAATATTGCAGACAGGCTTCTTAAGTTTAGTTACAGTGGTTTAGCTTTTTTGTATTTAAGTCAAAATACAATTTGTTTACAATTTGCTACTTTTATGACAAATTATTTCATATTTATTGCTACTTTGTTCAGGTAACAAGCATCTTTTTTGTCATGACACGGCTCAAATGCCTTTAGTTTAATATTACATTTGTATATTGTTGTCCAAAATACTAATTTGCGTTTTTCGGACAGTAATTTCAAGTAGTAATACAGAAATGTAAAATATTTCCATTCTTTCTAAAATAGTTTTAAGCAGGTACATGTATGAACACGTGGTAATGCTTGTGAATGAATATTTATTTAATTAATCAATTAATTTATTTATTTATTTAATTTTCAGTTTACCTGAGGTAATCTTATATTGATTGTGATGCTTAGGATTAATTGATTCTACCAAATCTTTAGTAGTTTTAATGGTAGCAAAATACACGGGGTAGAATCAGAATCACGCAAACAAACAAGATGGCGGATACAGCCTAAAAGTAAAGTTTTCCTTTTATCTCTGAAATTTGTAATGTTTTAGTGTAAAGGTGCATAAAATACCCATCTCCACAATTTTCCGAGCATCACAGAATTTTATTTCATGATGTTTTGTCCCGTACTTCATCTGAAATAAGCATCACCAGATTCGAAGCGAGAGAATTTTCCACCGGTTTAATCGTGATAATTAACGTACGGCTTCTTCTCTCAAATTCACTGTTTCTTTTACATATAATGTATATTAAATGAAACCACTGACTTTAAAAAGTTGTAATATGTCGTCATTGATTGGGAGTTCAAGGGTTACAAATACCTAGGGTTGTATTTTGAAATAACTGGTTTTCAAAAGTGTCCGATATCTTGGACCTACTTTGTGACAAAATTAATGTCAGTGCAATTTAAGTCAGTAGGTTATAAACAGATAAGAAGTCTAATCGTAATTTAGTGGGATGTTTCAAAATTAATAAGACAAGTGTTATAACCATCACCAAATATATGTAAATTGTAACACGGCGTTTAGATCAACCGCCATGAAAATTTGTTGTATAAGGATTTAAACATTGTGATGTGATTTAGAACAGGAAATAAATGTACTTGTCGGTACGGAAGGTGCCAAACTACCTAGTTGTTTCAACAAGGGGTTTAAGGTTTATTTTTCATTTGTAATATTTCACGGTATCAATCGCAGTTTGCATAATTATCAGTACAACAACAAATATGTATCTCCTATAAAGAAATGGTTGGTCAACAATTAGCAATTGCTATTAATGCGGGCATTGTTGCGGGCATTGTTGCGATAAGTTTGAAACACCTCTGAGACTATACCTTTAAATTTTACATCATTTTTTATTAATTGCAAAAATAATGAAACAAAATTATTTCAACATACATTCCCAATTGTAATAATAATCATATTATGTATGATTCAACAGTGAATATTCAACCCTCCTACAGCTATACTTTTTCATCGACCCATTCTTTGCATGTCGTATGGGGATACAAATTCCATTTTAAGTTTTGACATAAAAAATGCTTCTTTTTGGAATAATATGGATATTTCTACTCGAAAAAACTTTGTGTTTTGTAAATTCAATTACTACAGGTACTATTTTATTATTAAATAAAAACGATTTTTACCTAACGGGATGGGCTTCTGGTCCTTGGCATAGTTGTTAATGTCGCAAACTTAAAATTAGTTTCCCCTTGCCGAACCTTTCAGGGACTTGCTTTGTGACTATTAAGCTATAAGAACGGTGGTTCTACTCAAATGTCCACTTAAAAGCATCTAGAGTTTTCCTCAACGCGTAAAGTAAAGAAGTTGCCGTATGGTAAACTTACAGTAAAGGCGGGAATAAAAAACAAATTGAAAATTCGAAATACAATATCAAAATCATGACCAAAACAATTAAATGGTGAACATTATATACATTTATCTCTTCAGACATTAACTGCACTTTCACAAAATTGTAGGCCAAGAAAAAAAACGGGGAAAATACGACACTTTATCATTACTGAACATTAACTCAAATGTTACTAATATAACTTATATTTCAAATATTGCTTAATATATAACTTGCATTTCTTGTACACGTATAATTAAGTAATTTAGACAAAGGAGAAATATTAATGAATACAATCTTTGGTTGTTGCATATATAGTACCACAATATTGCGCTGATATCTCGGCGGACGACTGTTCCAAAATCGATTGTAGCTGGTCAGAGGCGAAGAAATTTTGTCCAAAGAAATGTGGAGCATGTCGTAAGTGTATTTCAGTTGATTACAAAGAATATAAAATACTTACATAGACAAAAGATACTTACATGTATTCGAACAAAATACTCACATTACCATAAAATACTTGAAGATCTACAATTTCACAAGATACTTATATGTTCACAAGATACTATCATGAAAACAATAAACTTACATGCACTCAGATAAATGTACACAGTGGTGCCGTTATATGTTGCGAAGCCACTTAAAGCCTCGTTAAAATTGATGTTTTAAATTAAAGACCAGTTTGTACGTCTTATGAATGAATTTGATTTTACAATTTCAGTCTTTTATAATTCCAAATTTTTCTTTTAAAATATAAAAAAAGCTGACTTTGTAAAATTAAACTAATTGACAACAAGTTCAGCTCCTAGCATTTTAAATTCTTACTTGTGTAAATGAATGCCTGCCACTGACTTCCCGGGGAGGCACTGTCAACAGAAGATTTTGATAGAGGGCGTTATGTGTTATTGTGATGTAAACAATACATGTAAACAATATATTTTCATGCACACACGTAACTAACATAAACAAAATATATCTACATACTGAACAAAAAAGAAACTTTCCCTGTGTTTAAAGATCCAGTATGTTGTACATGTACTTAAGGTTGTAACCATGTGTATGTTTAGTTTTGTTTATACTGGCTTTGCCATATGTCCCAGACTATCGGCCTCTGTTACGTCGCTGGTCGTAGAGCCTGCAACGGAGGACATAGTCCGCTTGCAACGTCGCCGATCGTAGACCCGCAAAGGAGGTCATCTCATTCCGTCGTTCGTCGTAGATCTTCTCTAGGACCCAGTTCTTCCGGGAGCAGCAGCTCTTTGTAGGGCCCACATCCTTCGCCGTGGGTTAGGTCACACCAGCTAAGTGACCTAACTAGTTCACCCATATGGCGTGACCTATGCCTTCCGAGCGACGTGCACGCCACAAAGGGAAGTCGGAAGTAAGGTTGTAACCACACTTAAGTGAAATTTTATAAATGTATATCATTGTGCCTAGGCTCGGTTTGATTGAGCCTGTTCATGAACGGTACTGGAAAGTGCAAGATACCGTCCACGCCCCCTAGCACCGGCTTAAGCAGAATTTAACATTTAAACACAGAAATGGTGAAATTTTGAATTTAGAAACATCCGCAAATGTGATCTTTCTTTTGAGCATTATATTTATGATATAAAACCATAAAAAATATTTAAAAAATGAATTACAGGATCTTTAAGTTATTTATTAAAAAGCTACATACATTCGGGAGAATAATTGTGTGCCTTTAACTCGACTTTAACTCGTTTTGCATGAGAACCCCGCTCACGTGCATGCATGGACCAGAAGATCCTGTATTTATTATGAAACCTTTCAGTGTAATTATATAGACTTTCATGTCAAAAAGACGTTGAAAAAGGTAGACTTTCATGTCAATAAGAAAAAGACGTTGAGTTTCTTTTGATAAACCTAGAATTCCGCAAAATTTACGCGAACGTGCAATTGGCATACTTTAATGCTGGTGTGAAGATGAATGCCGTCTCGCTATGAATACTGGATGCTCAACTCTGCTTTTCGACACCATAGGAACGCGGGAACAGGACCGCATATTGCGGTGTATAAATCCGTTAGGCTAGTTAGGCAAGTGTTGTGTGGGTAACTTAATTTATACATAATCCATTCATGTATATACCGTTATGTCATACTTTAAAATCCGTATGATTTACTTAGGAGACAAAATGTCATTGAATATTCAAATGTATCAGGTCAATATACTGCTAAATACAGGGAGGTTTCTTTTTTGTTCAGTATATGTATTGACAATATCCTTATATGTAAATACTATACTTTCATGAAGTGTCATTAAAGGGCGCCATTTTAAAAGGGAAGATAATCCTAAATAGGTCTTTGAATATTCAAATGTCTCCGGTCAATATTGTAAAATAATAGCTTTAAATGCAGGGGAAGATTCTTTTTTGTTCAGTATAAAGTAGACAATGACAATATCCTTATATATGTAAATATTATACTTTCATGTAAACGATATACTTGGTTTCCTTACTAGTATTCATTGCCATTTTAAAAGGGAAGATAATCCTCAATAAATTACTGCAAAGTTATGCCCCTTTTTCAACTGAGATTTTAAGGTCAATTTCCCAATGACAAAAATGTCAAAGTTAATAAACTTAAACTTGAAAAAACGTATTGAATTTTTAAATTGGAATGCATCTTTTAAGGAATTGTAACTTTATCATATTTATGACCTGCAATATTTTCATTTTTTCTCGAAAACTGTTAAAAGGTTTTAGCTTTTCGTGGCTTTATAAGAGCAGGGTTTTTTCTCTTCTACGCACGTTGAAGAATGTTGCCCCCCCCCCCTCTTTTATTTTTTTTTCAACTATCCAGCACTGGACCGCGGACAGGTTTTGTTTTTCAATGCAACACAAATATATGATGACAGTCAATATCATACTGAAATCTTGACTTGACTATCGATTAGCTTATTATTTGTATACATAAATGTATAGACCTTTAACGACGCGGTCCGTTGCTATGAAAAAAATGACCGGAAGTAGTATTTCTTTTGCGCATGTGCAATTTGCGTAGGGCAAAAAGGCCATGCCCTACATAGAATTGAAGTAGAAATCCATAGACAATTCCGAGTTTGTTAAAGGTAAAAATTAGAAAATCATATAAAATAGCTTTTAACAGAAACACAATAGATGCCTTCATAGCTTTGTGGCCAAAATTGCCCCAAAAGGCATGGAAAAGACGATTATTTAAGAATTCCCCCTTACGATCACTGACCTGACATTGAGGTTATTGTTGTAAAAATATGTGGAAATATATATATTAGCAAATAAAGAAGTCAATTTAATTGTTTATTTGAAAACGTCCATATTAAAAAGTATTTTTATTACATATGATAAATAACATTTTTATATCAATTTTATTAACATTTTAAATCGAGGTTAAATATAATTTCAATAAACAAGAGGGCCATGATGGCCCTGAGTCGCTCACCAGAAACAACTGCTTTTCAGTGTTGGAATGTCAATATATTCTAATATTAAATTTGAACATAGAATATGTTTAAACAATAATTTGAAGAAATGCCATGACCTGGGGCATTTAAAATCAAATTAATATGAGCAAACTTGATAAAAGACTAGCTAAGAATGCTTCAAAGTTTGGTGATCATCTATCAATTATTTCAGTAGGAAATGATGTTCGAATGTATTTTCTATTTTTAGCTTTTGTGACCCCAAAAAGGGGCTAATCAAATTAATATAAGCAAACTTGATAAAAGAGTACACAAAAGTGCTTCAGACAAAGTTTGGTGATCATCCATTAATTAGTTCTCTAGAAATAGACATTTAACGGTATTTCTATTTTTAGCTATAGATACCCCTAAAAGGGGCCAATCAAATTAATATGAGCAAACTTGATATAAGACTACTTAAGAATGCTACATACAAAGTTTGGTGATCATCCATCAATAAGTTCTGTAGAAGAAGATGTTTTAAGGTTTTTCTATTTTTAGCTTAATTAAGTGGCCCCTAAAAGGGGCCAATCAAATTTATATGAGTAAACTTGATAAAAGACTACCCAAGAATGCTACAGACAAAGTTTGGTGATCTTCCATCAATTACTTCTGTAGAAATAGAGATTTAAAGGTATTTCTATTTTTAGCTTTTGCGGCCCCTAAAAGGGACCAATCAAATTAATATGAGCAAACTTGATAAAACACTACCCGAGAATGCTACATACAAAGTTTGGTGATCATCCATCAATTAGTTCTCTAGAAATAGACGTTTAAAGGTTTTTCTATTTTTAGCTTTAGCGGCCCCTAAAAGGGGCCAATCATATTAACATGAGCAAACTTGATATAAGACTACTTAAGAATGCTACAGACAAAGTTTGGTGATCATCCATCAATGAGTTCTGTAGAAGAAGGTTTTGAAAGGTTTTTCTATTTTTAGCTCTGCTGACCCCTAAAAGGGGCCAATTGGAATGACATGAGCAAATTCAAGTGTGTCTGTCACAAGGATGCTACAGACCAAATTTGAAGTAAATCTGCCTAGTAGATTCAGAGAAGAAGACGATTGTTGACGCATGACGACGGACGACGGACGCCGGAGCATCCCCCTTTGATACTAATAGCTCACCCTGACCCTTCGGCTCTGGTGAGCTAAAAAAATGTCGGAACACGTGATTTAATGCATTTTTAGTTTTCAGTTTAGCTAATTTTATCCATTATCCAACTTGACGGAGATGCCAAACAGACATTTTTTTAACTCATATAATATATTTAAATAATTTTTCAAGCTCTTGGATGGTGGAATAACACACATTTTGTTCGGTTCCTTGTAACACATGGAAATACACGTCACGTACACTATTTGTCACTTCACAAAATCAATAAACATTGATGAGATTAGTATAAATAAAAATTAATTAAATTACGATAAATTATTTTCATAATTTTAAGTAATTAACTATGTCATGGTACTAAAACGACCCTGTTGAATGATATCGTTAAGTAGCTGGCAAATAACAAAGTGTCAATATGTTTGACACTTACCGCCTTGCCAATCCACTTTCAAAGGAATACCAATTGTGTAATATTATGTAATACATGGGTAATTAAATGTGATCTTTAACACTCAGCTGTTTTAATTTAAATTACTGATGGAAAAGTCACCTAATGATACCTTGAACAGAGGACTTTTGGTCGTTGAATTATAAGTCCCGCTAATTTTGTATATCTGTTATAGATATCAATTCACATTTAAGTACTAACCGCTTTAATTCATCCCAAAATTTCTTTTCTGGGTAACATAACCTGAAATCACGCCTTTTAAGACTTTAAGTGCACTAAATGTATGCTATCGTTATTGCGCTTTAGCCCTACGCAGAATGCGCACGCGCAAATTGCAACAGACATTGCTATGGTAAAATCATTCTGTAAAAGGTCTATATGAATGTTCTTTGTTTTTGTAAAGGCATTTGTGAGGATACAAAGACAGACTGCACGTTTTTGAAAGAAAATAATTTATGTACATCCCACCAATTTCTGCAAATAGCAGCCAAGAGCTGCCCAGAAAGCTGCAACTTTTGTAAGTATCAATTTTAAGCATTTTTATTCATATCAATAACTTTGAGATATTCCGCTCAATTTAAATCGAATACTCGCCAATTAGCGGATATAGCTTTGTCATGATATTTGAATTAAAGTGTTGTTTTCAAATAATGGGTAACGAATGTATTTATGAATTTGAAATTGATTGCGATCGATGTTATCCGTGACTTGGCAAATGTTGGGTTTTGCCAGCTTATCCATAGGTACAAACAAACTGTTACCGTTATAGCTTTACGGTGCACTACCCCACGTCATATAAGATCAGTCAACCTGATGCGCTTATTTTCGAAGCTGTAACTGTCTGTAAAAGTTTGTTTGTGCCTACAGATTAGCTGACCGAAAAACCCAAAATATTCTTAATTCCGGAGTAAGTCTATTTCATAACACTATAAAACAACAGTAAATGCGATGCAAGCAGTACTAGGAGAGATATAAATAGACGGTCAGTATGTTTTTTATTTCTATATTATCCAATATTTGGGTAAAATCAATGTTATGCTTTAAAACCCTGCATCTACATGGTCCTGCTGATAAATAAGATTGCTTTTACAAATATTTGTTTTCTCCCCCCCCCCCATGCCTCAGCCAGTTCCCGATTTGAAATAAAGATTTTTACGAGCCTTGTATTTTATTTAATAACACTTTCAGGTACTCCTTGCCACGATACCCACCATATGCAATTTTGCGCAGGACTAAAGAGGTATTGTAACTCGCAAACTACCGTAGCGGTCGCATGTGAGAAAACATGTAACAGATGCAGTAAGCGTTTTAAATCCTTACGAAAGATACGCTGAACACAAAAGTTAATAAATAACATACTGATATAGGTTTGACGTTGTATGAAGGCCGCCGACTTCGCGACCAATTATCAACGTTGATTCAACGCTGTGTCAACGTCGGGTGTTTGCTGGGATCAACCTTTCTTAAGTATGACACAAATATTATATAGACGTCACACTATCGCGCACGCACCAGTAAACAATCGCTTATGCATTGTACTTTATCGAACCGACATCAAATCAATGTACTTTTCTATATCGGCCCGATGTTGGTAATTTTCAATAATAATCGGTTTGACTTTTAATGGATAAATTAATAAAAACGGGAGCCTACTTTTTTAAATATATATATTCACAGAACCATACAATATGACAGAAATCATTGAAAAGTTTGGAGGTTACCAAATACAAACAACGATTTCATCAACAACGATTGCATCAACAACGATTGCATCAACAACGGCGTCATCAACAACGTTTACAACAACGTCAGGCACAACGGTCACAGGTAATTCATGTATAATTCTCTTCAAAGTGTAACGGTCCAAATCATAACCAGTAAACACGTTTAAACAATAACAAAATTTAGTCTTATCTGAAAACTCTGACCATTTTTAAAAAAGGATTATCCCCAAATTCCCAATTAAACAAGTTATCTTCACCATCTATTAGTTGATCTTTTGGAAAAATGCATAAAAATATATTTAATACAAAATATATTTCATTTTTTTATAGAATGTCAGAATATTATCATAAGTAAATCATGGTCTGTTCCGCCAGCGGAACATTTAACAGTTCTTTCTGTGTTATTACCACACTGGAAGCATGAATACAAAAACTATTAAAATGTTCTGTCGGCAATTAAATAAATGATTTAATCAATAAGGCTTTTTTACAAAATATTTCAGTCATGAATAATAAAGTTCCACCAGCGGAACATAAATTAGATGACATCTATTAAAATATAGACTATGTAACAAGTTATTTTTTAATCGCCGGCGGTACAGTTACTTATAACATGATATCACAATTCTTAACATTCTATTAAACTTCGTCCCGCGCCCCCGCAAATTAGCGTGTTTTCGCTCCGCGCCCCGCCGTTTTATTTCTTCAACCCCGCCATTTTAAGTTGTTAATTCTCGACTTTTGCGCGGGGCGAAAACACGAATGGCACAAATCAGCCACCATAAGTTAGGCAAGTGTTGTATCAGTAATTTTAAGTTATACATAAACCATTTAAACCGTTGTGCCATACTTTAAAATCCGTATGATTTACTTCGGAATCCGACAATTACCGACAAAAGGTCTTAGAATGTTCGAATGTCTCCGGTCGATATTGTTAAATACAGAGGAAGTTTCTTTTTGTTCAGTATAATGAAGACAATATCCTTGTATATGTAAATATTATACTTTCATGTAGACGATATACTTGATTTACTTACTAGTATTCATTGTCATTTCACACTGAAATCTTGACTTGACTATCGATTAGCTTTTTATATGTTTACATACATGCGTATGAATGTTCTTTGTTTTTGCAAAGGTATTTGTGAGGATACTAAGACAGACTGCACGTTTTTGAAAGAAAATAATTTATGTACATCCCACCAATTTCTTCAGATAGCAGCCAAGAGCTGTCCCGGAAGTTGCAACTTTTGTAAGTATCAATTTTAAGCATTTTTATTCATATCAATAACTTTGAGATATTCCACTCAATTTAAATCGAATACTCGCCAATTAGCGGATATAACTTTGTCATGATATTTGCAATGCAAATTCCCTCAGCCAATTCCTGATTTGAAATAAAAATTCTTACGAGCTTGTCATTTTATGTAATTACACTTTCAGGTACTCCGTGCCACGATACTCTAGGTATGGACGTTTGCGCAGGACTAAAAAGTTATTGTAACGAGCGTACTTCCGTTGCGGACGCATGTAGGAAAACATGTAACAGATGTAGTAAGCGTTTTAAATCCTTACGAAAGATACGCGGAACACACAATAAAAACATACTGGTATAGGTTTGACGTTGTATGAAGGTCGCCGACGTCGCGACCAATTATCAACGTTGATTCAACGCTGTGTCAACGTCGGGTGTTTGCTGGGATCAACCTTTCTTAAGTTTAATGACACCAATATTCTTTAGACGTCGCACTATCGCGCACGCACCAGTAAACAATCGCACATGCATTGTACTTTATCGAACCGACATAAAATTAATGTACTTTTCTATATCGGCCCGATGTTGGTAATTTTCAATAATTATCGGTTTGACTTTTAATGGATAAATTAATAAAAAAGGGAGCCTACATTTTTAAATATATATATTCACAGAACCATACAATATGACAGAAATCATTGAAAAGTTTGGAGGTAACCAAATACAAACAACGATTGCATCAACAACGGCGGCATCAACAACGGCGTCATCAACAGCGTTTACAACAGCGTCAGGCACAACGGCCACAGGTAATTCATGTATCATTCTCTTCAAAGTGTAACGGTCCGAAAATGTAACATAGAGAATAACCAGTAAATTTTTTTTAGACTTAATAATTTCAATCTTTAATATTTTATTGCAACATCGCAAGAATTTTCAACTTCATTAAAATTTTACGGCGAAATAACGTTATCGTAAGAACGCAGTTTCATTCTAAGTGACAAAATTACGTCATTATGGAGTAGCAACCCATTTGGCTACCTATGCCATACCAAATGTTCAGCATGTGTAAAACTAACGGATATGCCAGGCTGGTATGTAAGAAATATTTATACGCCCTGTCTATAGCTACCGGTTTCTGGCACTGGCTGACGGATCTCGAAGTTATTAATTCTCAGGAAAATATATTTTATCAGATCTTTGGTTCAAATTTAGCAGGACATTCATCATATAGTATTGTATAAATTGACGTTTCACTTATCATAAAAAATAAACATAATCATGTTTTACCTAATCCAATAACCTTCTTACATACTTAACCTATTTGCAATAAAGATGGTAGATGCAGTACGCATGTTTATTTCGAATTACGTAAAAAGATTGCTTTTATCAACTCAGACTGATTTGGTACACTTTGCGCGTTGGCGTTTGGCGCTTTGTCGCTAGCGTTCCAAATCAGCCACCATAGATTCTTGTAAAAGGGTAATGAATATTGTACAGCCTTTTTGCAGTTTTAGAATACATCAGTTTATACTATACTGTTTATTAAAGTATCTTTGGAAGGCACCTTTATAATAGCTTGCTTTTTTAATTTTAATAGTTCACAAATTTTACCATCATTATAACTAGCAATGGTCACAAACTCAGCCGGTCCGTGTTCGGATAACGAGGTGCCGGGATTTAGTTGTGCAGAATGGAAGGGACTCGGGATCTGTTCTAGCACATCCGGAAGTGAAAGTATAATTGCAAAAGAAAGATGCCAGAAGACGTGCGGATTCTGTAGTTAAATCAATAGGTCAGATGTCTTTATTTTTCAGAAACAATAAATTTAGTTTATGATCGATAGTGTTGTAAACTATTAGCTTATGAAAACACTCTCGAATCCGTTCCTGGAACCAACCAGTACTTAGCAATGAATGTAAAGTTTCTTGCTCAAGGAAACAAGATTTCAAGATTTTATTATACACTCAATACACAATACATGTAAATATGAGGAAACAACGGACAGGGTTTGAATTCACGCGATCAGTGATTCTTAGATAACTAGTCCGACGTTAACCACTCGGCCACGCCGCCACTCCAAGCAATATATTTGCCAAGACTTATGTCAAATTTGCATTTATTTACAATGGATTTAAATAGTAGTAAGACTGGTTTAACTGAAGGATATAGTTTAATGCCTAGCAATTGACACGAGTGCCGGAGTAAAGATTGTAATTAATGTTTTCTTGAAAGACATGATTATGTTCATCTACCTTTAATTGATGTGTAAAAAATTGTAATCAGTGACATATAGCTCACTCAATATAGAAGCAAAATATTTTGTCACTGTTGAATTTCTTATTCTTATGAATTCACATTTATAATTATTACGAAAGTAAATTTTGTTGCCAATAAAAGAGGAGTTTACAAACATATTAACAACACATATGACATACGATTTTTATTTATTTCAGGGGTCATCATTTGATATATGTGATGTCAGCCAAATTAAAACTTTAAATTGTCAATTCTACATTAATATTTTGAATAAACAAATGTTTAATAACTTGCATTTTGTTAATTTTAGATTCAAGTTATTCTCTGCATTAAAAAGCAATACATGGTGAAATATATTTGCATGTAGATGTTCTTTTCTGAACTAAATTATATTATATCTTATGAAAATAGGAAAATCTTACATGCTGATATTCAGCTTAATGACCTTGTGTTCATGCATTTAATTGACCCAAAATATACAGGAATAATTGGAAAAAACCGTCTATGTGCATAACTGAGCCGCGCCATGACAAAACCAACGTAATGGGTTTGCGACCATCATGGATCCAGACCAGCCTTCGCCTCCGCGCAGTCTGATCAGGATCCATGCTGTTCGCTATCAGTTTCTCTACTTGTTATAGGATTTGTAAGCGAACACCATGGATCCTGATCAGGCTGCGCGGATGCGCAGGCTGGTCTGGATCCATGCTGTTCGTAGACGCATTATGTTGGTTTTGTCAACCATCTTCACGATTAAAAAGGAATTAAGATTGGACTCATTTATGATTGACATCATGTTAATTTGTAACATTTGTCGCGTATAAATACTTTGTAAAAACTTAAACAGCTACATATGTTCGTCAATAAAATTCGTTTAGGATCGTCTACTCAGAAAATCATATTGTGCTCCTTGTGTTTTTGTTTCGGAGGGAGGCGCTGCAAAGCGAGGACCTATATTTATACTTGCTACCAAACTCCTCGCAGCGGTTACTACAGAAAGTGACAAAGCGTGACATAACCGCTGTGAGGAGTTTGACTTGCTACCTGTGCCCGAACACGCATTATCGATTGGATTGAACTTGGGCTACTTGAAGTATCAAGTTAAAGCCAAAGCTGAAAACCTTGCGTTCTTCTCTCTAAGAAGCAAACTTGTATGAAGTCATACTGATTTTAGATGGACCTTCGGCCTCTGAAGTTATTATCGCAAAATTACATACGAGTACACTGCTCTGTCTGGAATCTTGGCTTTTGAAGTATATTGCTGCTGCCGGATTCAATATTCATTCCGAAGAATATTTATATTTACTCAGGTTAAATATTTGAAGAAAACCATTCGGCATGTCATAGGAGATTCTAGTACTCCACTTTCGTAATCTAGAGCTAGAGACATTTTCAGAGACGCTTTAGATAGTATAGGAAAATTGGTTACACTGTCTACGAAGAAAAGGAGTTTCCGCCTCGGCTTACAGTTCATCCCCGGTAGAATTGAGAATGTTCAAAAAACATGGTAGTTTCCAAAAAGTTAGGAATGTAACACTAACAATACTTCTTTGCGCTCGAATATTAACGCATTGCACGCATTCTGTAAACATCAACTGTATTATATATTTTATGTCATTTTGTCATATTACTTCTGTCATGTACTTACATTTATCTATGTCATTTTACATCTGTAATACATGTATTCTTAAGAAGATTATACGTGATTTTCGTGAGGTGGGAATCCTGTATATATGCAACACGTTTGCAGCTTGTTATTTCACCATAGATACCTAAGGAGTTTTAACATAGAATGTTGCTATTATTCAACACATGAATATTGTAATTGTTTGGAACTCTGTGCATGCGCCACTGACTCTTAAGAAAATAAACAAACATATCTCTTTCATGCAGGTAATTTGGAAGTATTATTTTTTGTAATTAAAACTACAGGTTGCGGATATATAGCTTTAAGACACTTAAAATGTTTTGTTGCTTCCATTTTCAAATTAAAAAAGGATTTTTTAAGAATAAATGGGACCAAAATACTTCACTAAAATGAGCTAAATGCCTTGTATTTCAACTTACTGACCATTTTCATCTTCTTGTAACAAAACAAAATCTCTTATAGTATTCATCATCATTTATTTACAGAACAATATTTTCAATTCAAATAATTACACAATTATTATCAAAAAAGTGGAAAAAAAGATGAAACAAAAAAATGAAAAAAAACAACAATAATTGAATTAATTCTCTATATAAAGAAATATTAAAGCACAGAAAATCATAAACATGTATTCAAAATCCATGACATCATTTTTCTTGGCTGCATCTGCACTTTACCAGCATTTAAAATATACATATATCAAATATTACATATAAAATTTTTCATATGAAAAAGACAACCAATTCTCTTATCAAATCAAAGTGCCCCAACAATAATTTGAACAATTATATTTCATAATCCGATTTACTTGAAAGCTAAAAGATATTTGCAGACCGTGAAATTCACAGAATTTATTAAGGCCATCCCCAAATCTATTCTAAATAATAATAAGAAGTTATAATAAGGAACAAATTCTTAGTGCTTTAACATTAACCCATTGGAACAGATAGTGATTAGTCTTGGATTATACCATGAATATTATATTATATAAATCTGTGCTTATACTCGCTACAGTGTTGGAGCAGTAACCCCTTCTAGATACTTTCAGAAATCATGCTCACAAAATAGAAAAATATCGCTTTTTTGCATATTCTTACATTTTTCTATTCATTTACGTATATAAACTGATGCAAAGAGATGAATTAGATATCTTAAAAGTGCATCTGGGCGAGTCAAAAGGCTAGATTTTAGCATTTAATCATTGAAGCACCTTATCCGGTATAAACCAGAATACGGAATTTAATTAAGTGCTCCAACACTTTCTTTTAGTCTCACTCATAAAAGTCATTGCCACCAGTATAGGCCCAGGCCAGCCTACACGGATGAGCTCAGGCCAGGGTCTATTAGAATACTGTTAGTAGCTTAATGTTTTGTATTTTATATTTGAGGATTGATGGTTCCAAATTTAATGCAGGGCAAAATCTACATGTATTTGATAATTTCAGCAAGTTTAGGGTTTAGATAATGCAGAATGCCATACAGTACATGATCACAAGTCATTAAAACATTTTATAACATCATTATATTGATTTCTGTTGATAAAGTGCATGCCCGATCTAGCATTATCAGTCACCCTCAACTTTATCAGACATCATCCTCAGCTTTATCAGACACCTCGTCAATACAAATTGAAATAGAATGAAGGAAACAGAAAATATTTGCCTCCGATTAGCTTAAAATTATTAAACTAATAAACTCTGAACTGAGTAGAATTTTATGATATTAAAGTCTCTCTTTCATTTTACTAAAACATTCGGGACTATTTCTTATCAATATGACCCTTGATTAGAGATCTCTATAATATTTATTGTGCGAGGCATAAATGCTAAAGGCTCTTCACAGGTTCCTTTTCAAATACAGTGTACTGTAAAACTTAACTACAATTGAAATCATTCAGTTGAACAGTTAAACCTAAAGCACTATTTATATGTAGTGAGACATGTAAAATCTCTCTAACATACATAATGTATTCATACACACATTGTGTGACAAACCATTTAAACATATTATAACATGTAACACATATTAATCATCATCACCATCTCACATTGCTTTCAAGTTATGTCACACTTGCTGAACACAAAATAGATATCCTTCATTTTCACTTTGTTGTTATTGTTTGTTTTTCAATAACTAAAACACTGGAAAAGATAAGTCTGCCTTCACAAGTTCTTCCTCCTAAAGTTTAACAAATTATCCACATTATGCTGACTCATCTTGTTTCCATATCCAAGCATCTAAGAAACCATGACCATACTTCTTTATAAAGCTTCTATAGATTCTGATCAGGGATTGGACACCATCATTGGCTTTATGGATCTAAGAAAACTTTTTCTAAGAAAATCCAAGATGGCGCAACTGTACAATCAATATATAAACATGCCAAATTTCTGATATTTTGACAAAATTTCACTAAAATATTTGAGCGCGGTGTTCTTGACAATCATAACGCCATGTTTCTGCCTTCGATACTAATAGTAACTGCTCGCATTGATTTGGAATTTTTCTTCTTCTCAGCAAATTTTCTAACTTGTTTCTCATATCTGCTAGGCTCTTTCTTTCCGGTACCCTTCAATACAAAAAATAAAACATACATATATCTTACTGTATATATAGTGCTATGTTGGACAGCTTACTTGCATGAAAGAATTATAATGTCCGTCATTTGCTGTAGTTCAGATCAGAATATCCGTCCGAGGGGACCCGCCAAACAAGGCTTGCTGAGTTACCGCCCGTTTTGGCGGGTTCCAGAGGGACAAATATTATACATATAATTATGTCAGATATTTTTTCTTATTTCTTTATCTTAATAAAACAATTTTCCAAGGAAATGTTGATCATTTTATCTGTATCTATTTTCTTACAACTTCATTCACATGAAATTTCCGGCATGGGTAAAACTAACAGAAACATGCAAGAATACAGAATCCCTGTCAGGGCTCCAGCACACAGTTAACAAAGTGGTCTAAAATCACTTTAATCACTTTTCCAAGGAGGTACCTTGCACTGGTTTTATTTGAAAGTTAGGACTTTAAAAAGTGGCATAAAAATAACAATACATTGGACCCAGAAACTAGTATTCTAACTACAACTAGCATGTTTATCTACAAGGACCTTCCAACTCATCCAGTATGGGTATGTAACAGTATTTTCGGTATACACAAATTGGGAATGACATAACTTCTGTTCCTGCATATTTCACCAATATTACTGCACATGTTTCTTGGTTTAAACATATTTATTTAAGCACCATTACGAAACAAGTTCTTGCAACTCTGGGTAGAGAGGCTGACACCTTAAGACTAGGCCATTGCTCCCCTTGTTATTTGTACCTGTGAACCTTTCATATTTTTGTCAAGTTTGTTTTTATGGTGCTAATGCCAATTTTAAATAAAGATTTTGGTTATATGTCAGCGGTCAATCCACCAAACCGGCTAACCTAGATAACCAATTATTACCAATTTCTGTGCAAGTGACCAACTGAATTTATAAACAAAATGTAACAGCAAAAACCATCATTCTGATGTTATAAAACTCAATTTTTTCACACTTTCTAAGAAGAAAAAATTTATTCGTTATTCGTATGGTTATAATCAAGGAGAACATAACTCTTACCCTTCTTCTACTAGGCTCCTCTTCGCCTTCCTCCTCAGTTTTCCATTTTGGTCGTATCACATAATCTTTGTTTGATGGTAGCGGTACTCTAGCTCTATATATCCAGCCTGGGTCACCAGGTCGTAAAGCTCTGTTAGAGTAAAAATATCATCAATATTATACCTTTATAAAATGTGGTCAGGTTCCAAGTCATGTGGTCATATGGCAACTTTACAGCTTTACAGGTAGAAGAGTAGAAGAAGACCTCAGGTGCATAATTCGGACCCCCTTCCCCACATACACACAATATATTTATTTCTCTTAAGATATGCACAATATTTACATGACAGCATTGGAAAGTTCCTTATACATAAATTAAAGCTAGTGATAAAAATTTTCATATTTATTTATCATAGGCATAACGCCCATTATATATGGCCAATTTCAGTTGTTAAGGTGCTTGAAAAAAGGGTACATTTTCCATATTTTTTGCACAGAGACAGTGTAAAGCTTGAAAACTTGAAAACCTATTTTGAAAACATATATGCAGTTAATATTTTGGTAAAATAGGACCAGTTAAATAAAGTAGGACCAATTAAATATGAAACTTTATAAAATATGTCACTTTAACAAAAATACGAAACTATTTCATGTTCAAAACTTTTATACCTGGCAATGCAATTGAAATGCATTTTTAACGAAACTGAAGCAACACGAAATACTTCGCAATATGAAATCCTTACATCTAAAAATTAAATAGCAAGACGATAGATTTCAATGAGTTTTCACTCAATACATGAAGAATGTATAAAATGTTTACATACTTTTGTTCCCCTGTAAGTGATTTGTCCAGATCTTTCCTCGGAGTCATCCCTCCTTCTTCCATGCTGAAAATATTCAGGTAAATCTTACAGGTTTAAACATTTTCAAAATTTGCAACATAAATATACAAAATTCATCTGAAAAATTCCCTTCAGACAATGTTCAAAGTAAAGGCCAATTTCTTTCAACAAATAAACAAGAAGTCTCTAAACCACATAGCTAAAAAGTACTCCGATGAAGCTTTGAAGTTTATAGAGATTGTATCTAAAGTAGGCACTCGTACCTAGTAACTGTATATGTGTATTTAAATAGATTTTTAAATACTTAAATTCTGTACAAACTAAACAATTCAAAGCAAGCCTATTTCTGGTATGCAATCATATTTAACAGTAACAGTGTACATGTATTAAAATAGAGTTTTCTTTCACTGAAATTCAATCATTATGTTCTGTGCAAACTAAACAATTCATAAGAAATCTCCAGATGGCCAGATCGGAAAAAAATACATTGCTGAGTACAACTACAATACAAACAAATTGTCATATCTTGTTATGAAAAGAAAAACTTAGGTAATGTTGAGAATCAATTTAAAACTTTTTCTCCTCTTTGTCAAATACTAACCTCGGATAACAGTCATTGAATTTTGTAACTGGTCTTTAGCTAAAAACGGATCGTACCCGTTTAAACGGATAAACGTAACACCCCTTATTTTGATTATAAATATACTCAGGTTCAATAAAACAATAGAGACAGACATTACCTTGTTCGTCGTCGTTTAGGTAACTGATCATAATCTCTCTGTTCTCTCTCTTCTTTAGATAATGATTTATAGTTTGATGTGAGATTGAATAACGGTCGTGACCAGTCATCTGTAAAAAAAATAATATACATGTACATGACTGTGTGAGTATCAATTTTGATCAAGTCGGAAGAACTAAGATAATTAATTAGTTAGCGTCCTATATATATAAAAATCATGAGGCATGTTTGAAGTGTGGAAAAAAAATTCTAGAAAAAAAGAGCTTTTCATAAGACAGCACACTTTCTTAATCTTAGTGTTTGATTTTAAGAAAAAGGGCATAACTGTGTTAAGAGGAAGGTCAGAGTTATGGTATATGTGTCTATCATACAAGATAATCACGGGTCACAAGACTGTGAAGGTTCAACTTGCAAATCCATGAAGTCTGACCAGCATTGTTTCTGTCACTGATGCTTTCTTTTAGTATTTTGATATTGAAATACCTTTTAACTAATACCATACATTACCAGAATAAATGCAGAGCACAAAATTCAAGCAAATTAAGAAAAGTTAGGATCAATATGTTTTCTTTTTGTTGGGTTTTACTTCCCACCAACACAGTATAGGTCATATGGCGACTTTCATGCTTTAATGGTGGAGGAAGACCTCAGGTGCCTTTACATTTATTATTTCAGGCATGAAAGAGCACTCAAGTATAGCTACAAACTTTCCATTAGCTAGCTGGATAGCTTCCTGACATGAAAGAAACAAAAGTTCGTATTTGGGATTTGAACTCACAGTGGTGATGTACCACTGGTTTGAAGTCAACCTTAACCATTCAGCCATGGACGTCCCAAGGATCAATATGTCAAGGAGTACGTGCCTTCAAAATGAAATAAAGTTGTTTATAAACTTACTTATGAGCTTGCCAGCCATATCTTTGCATTCTTTGATTTCCTTTGGGTGTTTATATAAATACATCACAGCTTTACCAATACCGCTAGTCTTTAAAGCACCGGGGTTCAGAGTTGGAAACTGAAATGTAAAGATAACATCAGAAAATATCCTGGCAAAATTATACAATTTTCTTCAATTTTAAAATGCAAATGCTTTGTTTAAAAGAGAAAAATTACGTTTGTATTGAAATGTTGCCAAAGAGTTAATTACAATGAAACTTTGTACATTAAACAAACTGCAAAGAAATTAAAATTAACAAATTTTGATAAATACATGTATAGAAAATGTTTAATAAGTATCTTACATATTTATTGAAACTCTTTAAACAAACACTGAATAACTGTTATAACATAATGTTGTAACATATAAAATAATGCGATATGACAGTCCTCAATCCTTATGGTTTAATCATGACAGATTGACTGGTAGAATTGGGTTCCAAGTCATACTAACACAACCTAAAGGTGAATTTACCAGCTTCACTTGTGTAGGAAATAAGCCTCTCCTAACATTACTCTAGTTACAATCAGGCACCTCAGTAGAATCAAACCTGAAATCCCTCACGAAATTTGTAACCACAGCAATAAAGGAAAACAAACTTTATCACACACCCATGCCGATTTTGCGACTCCATAAAAATGGTATTGCACGGCCGTGCATATATTTTGACGCGACGTCATTAGCGTTATACAAACATAGTGTAATGTCGTGCTGATGTTAGCTATATTCTATAGGCGGGTCAGTGAAAAATGACTCTTTTTTCACTTTAAACAGTCTTTATTTTTGGGTATGTGATAACTAGAATATTAAATTTGTGTAAGTTCAACACTGAATTTATTAAACTCGTTGAATAAGATAATATTATGCTCGCCAGAGGCTCGCATAATATAATCTTATTCAACTTGTGCAATAAATTCAGTATTGAACTTACACTCAATTAATATCCTCTATACACTATACATACTGAACCAAAAAAGAAACTTTCACAAAGTATGTGCCAGTTGTTCAAGGGTACCACTTAGATGTTCACACTTATAAACATGTAGTAGCTTGTAAAACTCGTTTTGTTTGAAATATCGGTCAGCTAATCCCCGTATAAAAGCCTGATATGTTTATTCAACATAAAAATTGAGTTTCAAAAGGATTGAAAAACTGTAAAAACATATCTACATTCAAACTTGGAGAAAGTTTCTTTTTTTTTTCTCAGTATATGATAGTTTCTAGCATACATACCTCTCCGAGAATTTTAAGGAAAGCTTGTCTAATTAGTAGATTAGGTAAACTTTTATCAGGAAGGGGAGCTAACCACTCTGTCATAGTACTTAATATACCACAGTCCAGAAATGCCCCATGAAGGTCAGCCCTGTAAATAAACAACAAGGTAAATTGGTTACATTTGTTTTTTATATTAAAATTTTATTACAGTCAAACATGTTTTTAGTGACCAAAAACGGTCTCTTAAGACAAAGCATTAGTAACAAATAAAAATTATACATGACATCTTTCCTTGCATGCGCAAGTTAGACTGTATATGAAAAATGAGGAACCATGCAATATTCAAAACTCTAACTTTTTAAGTGATGGATTTGAGTAATTGATTCTCCCTGCTTTAAATCTAGAACAGTCCATTTTGAAGTTTAAGGGATTCTAATATTGAAATACGTATGTGATACATACAGTGTAAAACCTGGTCAGACTCCACTAATGCCCAGACTGGCATCGCACGTTGCTTGAGGTAAAAGCTTAGCACTTCTGGTGCGTGCATGTTACTGTTAAGTGTTAACTTAATAACAATAAACTGAGACTTACTTTTTTAATTGAGAGACAACTACAGGTAAATATTTTAGTTTTCTGATGGCAGGTTTTTTTTCCATGTTCAATCCTCGATCCTCCTGGAAAAACAATAACAGCAGAAGTTTATATTTCTAGTTTATATTTCTAGTTTTAACATTACAATAATTAAAATACACCTCAAGTATATACCTGTCATAACAACATATCAATTCCTGATGTGTATTATCAGTATGGAAAAGTATTTCCTCAGGTATAGTTAAGAATTTCTTTAAGCATCTTAAAGGAGTTAAAGAACAAAAGGAAAATTCAACGACAGTATTTTTACTGTTTAAGTTTTCAGTTATCCTGATTTTATGCAACCGATTTGACTGTGAAAAAAAATTTTTTTTACGCCACATTTATATATTTAAATAATTGTTCAAAATCTTGAGAAGTTAAGATGGGTAGTGTAATAACACACATTTGATTCGATTCCTCGTTACACATGTAGATGCATGTCACACTATTTGTCACTTCACAAAATTGTATAATATATCTGTTGATGAGATTGGTATAAGTTCCCTAAATTAAGATTTTCATAATTTTATGTGATTAACTATGTCATGGTACTAAAACGTCCAGGTGGTATGATATTCTAGAATAGCTGTCAATCTGTTTGGCACATACCACCTTGCCAATCACTCTTTCAAAGGAACGTGTATAATACCAATTGTGTAATATTATGTAATACAGGGGTAATAAAAGGTCTATACACAATATTGCCCTATGTAATAAATAACCATATTCACTAGTCAATATCAAAAATATATATCCTATACATCATACCTCTGCTGCGACCTTCATTTTGTTGATCATATCAGCGATAAGGTCGTCACTGTCATTAATAAGATCAAAATCTTTACGTTTTCTTCGTCTATTCTGCATATCATTCTTCTTCTTCGCTAACATCAGGTCAAAGTCTGATACTATATCCCTGTAATGAAAATATTGAAGAAATAATATATTCCAGTGATTTTATCGCTCAATAAAAATACTGTTCGGAGTTCGGATGCAAGGAATTATATCACCAGGACGTAGCCAGAGTGATATAATGATGCGCATCCGAACAACAAACAGTGATTTTATCAAGCAATAAAATCACAGATTTGGATATATTATTTCGATTCTGACATGACAACAACATATAAATGCTGACGTCCTTGATATTAACCTCAATTGTGCCTGATTTGTTTCCGTACTTATTTTCAGCACACCACATTTTAGTGGTTACGTCATGTGTATAATGATTACGTCACAAAAGAATAAATATAGAAAGTCAAACTGTGATTTTATTGCATAATAATACACACTTGTGGTTCTTCTATGTTCAATTGGGACAAATGTGGGTTGCATTAGAATAAATCATAATTCATTTGTTTGTTTACTGAGAGACAGAAACAAATTAACAAATATAGCAGAACTTTGGTAAGTCAAAGTTGAGGGACTTGCGTAAAAACTTCCGCACATCAGGACTTTGACTCATGAATCAATTTAATGAGAAAATTTCTCAATTCTCAAGCCATCAATGCTTACGAGTGAGTTACTAAAGGTGTAAAAATGAAAAGGACGGAAACTTAACCAGCATTTAAAAATATATCATGTGTAAATATCATGTGCCACCAGGTCTCGTAAGATCTTTTAGGAAAATAATTTGTATGCTTATATTCAAATTCAACGATGGTAATAGGAATGACAACAATTAAAGCATATTCTCACACCAAGGAACACAAAAGCCGCGTCATGACAAAACCAACATAGTGCATTTGCGACCAGCATGGATCCAGAGCAGCATGCGCATCTGTGCAGTCTGAACAGGATCCATACTGTTCGCTTACCTACTCTATTACAAGTAGAGAAACTGATAGCGAACAGCATGGATCCTGATCAGACTGCGTGGTTGCGCAGGCTGGTCTGGATCCATGCTGGTCGCATACCCATTATGTTGGTTTTGTCGTGACGCGGCTCATTTATTACTACATAACAACTTACTGTCCTTCTCCGTCCCCATCTCTCCTAGCAGCTGCATCATTCTCATCATCAGATAACTCTGGTAGTGCCGGAGTACCGCTTGTCTCCCCTGTTGCCATACCTTCTCCTTCATCATCGGATAATATCGCTGTATAAACAGTTAAACACAATAAACTTCGGAACTTTTCTCACGGTTATCATTACTTAAAGAATTTGGTATTATCTAAATTGTTAAATGCAGTACTGTAATAACTAAGTGGAGTGGAGGTCAAGCGGTTTAGGTGTCTGCCTCTCAACCGAGGGTTCATGGGTTCAAGCCCTACTCGTGTCACCACCATGATTCCTAATATGACACCAGTACTGGTTCCCAAAAGCAGACTCTGACGTGATTAATATAAGTTACGAGAACTTGTTCCGCACTCCTGGTAAAATAAATATGTTTAAAACTACTGTTATAACTACACTTACATAATAATGAAACATAAGGTCTTACATTATTATCAGATGTTTTATTACTTTACAATTTCTCGACATCTTTTCATAATTTCATACTCTTAGTCATCCTTCTAAATTTCTCTCTAGACATAAATTAAGTATCTAAGACGTTCTTTATTCAGCAACTCAAAAGCCATTTTGTATGCAGATCAGATTAGAATTTAAAACATACACACATAGCATTTCAGAAACTCTCTTGTGACTATCAGGTTCATTATGTTGAAAATTGATACTTAATATCCATTTAATACAAAAAAGGTACAAATTAACTGCAAAACAGAAATTAATAGTACACACCTGTTTTCTCCTTTTTCTTCCTAGCTGTTGCCTCTACATCTGCCTCACCGAAACCTTCAAATTCTTCCTCCTCGTCACTCGAACCAAAAATATCTGCCACCAGATCACTGTAAAATATAGTAAATGTTGGTTAAATATCTGCCACCAGATCACTGTAAAATATAGTAAATGTTGGTTAAATATCTGCCACCAGATCACTGTAAAATATAGTAAATGTTGGTTAAATATCTGCCACCAGATCACTGTAAAATATAGTAAATGTTGGTTAAATATCTGCCACCAGATCACTGTAAAATATAGTAAATGTTGGTTAAATATCTGCCACCAGATCACTGTAAAATATAGTAAATGTTGGTTAAATATCTGCCACCAGATCACTGTAAAATATAGTAAATGTTGGTTAAATATCTGCCACCATATCTGTAATATATAGTAAATGTTGGTTAAATATCTGCCACCAGATCACTGTAATATATAGTAAATGTTGGTTAAAATATCTGCCACCAGATCACTGTAAAATATAGTAAATGTCGGTTAAATATCTGCCACCAGATCAATGTAAAATATAGTAAATGTCATTTAAATATCGGCAACCAGATCACTGTAAAATATAGTAAATGTTGGTTAAATATCTGCCACCAGATCACTGTAAAATATAGTAAATGTCATTTAAATATCGGCAACCAGATCACTGTAATATATAGTAAATGTCATTTAAATATCTGCCACCAGATCACTGTAAAATATAGTAAATGTCGGTTAAATTATCTGCCACCAGATCACTGTAAAATATAGTATATGTTGGTTAAAATATCAGCCACCAGATCACTGTTAAATATAGTAAATGTCGGTTAAATTATCTGCCACCAGATTACTGTAAAATATAGTAAATGTCGGTTAAATTATCTGCCACCAGATCACTGTAAAATATAGTAAATGTCAGTTAAATTATCTGCCACCAGATCACTGTAAAATATAGTATATGTTGGTTAAAATATCAGCCACCAGATCACTGTAAAATATAGTAAATGTTGGTTAAAATATCGCCCACCAGATCACTGTAAAATATAGTAAATGTCCGTTAAAATATCGGCAACCAGATCACTGTAATATATAGTAAATGTCATTTAAATATCGCCAACGAGATCACTGTAATATATAGTTAATGTCGGTTAACTGATATTTTGTGTGATTTTTTAGCCTGATTTGAGTTAAAACCAACTCTAAGAGCGCTTCATTATTATTGTTATTTCGGTATAACAGAGAGAATGAGCTGAAAGTTGCATATATATTATTGGTTTAAACATACATTAAATGTAAAAAAAAATTTCAGAAAAAAACAAATTCAGCCCCATAAAAAAACTCAGTTGAGCCACTTTAAAATATAGACCACCACATAGGTGGGGCAATATACGCCCACATGCAAATTGTTTAAAATTATCAAAATATTTTTTGGATAAGAGAAGAAATTCATTACACTTGTCCAGAACATGTTTTATTTCAATTATCAATATTTTTTTCAGGTGTATAAAAACAGTCTATTAATGGCTTCATGGATGTTAGCTGATCAGAAAGTAAGGGTAATAAAGTTACTTACTCTTTATCACTCTCATCACCACTACCTTTAGCTTTCTCCCCATCAGATCCTCCCCTGAAATATATATATCATTATAATTATCAGGAATATTACAACAATGCAACCCCTTTAAAGTAATATTCTCCTTAAAACAACAGCATTAATGAATTTCCTCTATGTATGATACCATAAATTTAGCCTATCTAAAATAACACCTCTCAGCCAAAACATAATTCTTTATCCATAAAAGCATGTTGAAAAAGAATTGACTGTAAATATCTTTAACCCTCATGTTGCAAGATTATCATAAATTTTCATGTTCAAGATTTAGCTGTAGAGAATAATAACTGGTTGATGAAACAGAATATAATGACAGTCTCTTTAAATCTATAAATAGTAGAAGAGAAAATTTTGACATACAGTATACATATATAGTTTTACAGACAGTATTAAATGCAGGTTAAACTTACCTGTCACTACCTGCAGGTGACCCTGGAGGACTGCCACTCCCTCTACTTCCAAGTGGAGAATACGGAGGTGTCCCACTTCCAGCCCTTGACCCACTACGACTTCTACTGCGGGATCTGATAATAAGGAATCAGCAATATAAAAAAAAATTCTGTTGCAATTGTTTAGTTGTACGAGAGATGTTAAAAAATACAAATCTTCATTTTCAGCTTTTAAGGAGCTTAACAAGTACAGAAATAGGAAAATGTTTCATTATATTTTTCTATCATATTACATGATCCACCTACTGTATACACACATGTACTCTACTTTTAAAACAATAATGATAATGTGTACCTAGTGCAGTGCATCAAATAATCTCTTAAAGCAATAATTGCATTCTTAATTCATAACCCACTTCTTATCTGATGTTTTTTTATAACAGAAACTTCTTCCAAGTCTATAAATCAAGAGGTTATTAGTCCTCAAATAACATACAGGTTCTTCTTTAATGTTATTAAAATTACATTCATGTAATAGAACATGAGAATATTATAAACTAACTAAATGGCTGGGGAGAAAAATGAGGTCAATCTTCCTATTTTACCTGCTCCCTCCACTAGCTCTTGAACCAGATCTACTTCTACTGCGACCACTTCCTGCAGATGATCTTGACCTTGACCTACTTCTACGACTGTCACGACTACCTGACCTACTTCTTGCTGGAGAACCTGACCTTGATCTTGCTGGACTTCCTGACCCTGACCTACTTCTCCTGCTTGCTGGACTACCTGACCCTGACCTACTTCTTCTGCTTGCTGGACTTCCAGATCTTGACCTACTTCTTCTGTCTGCTGGACTTCCAGATCTTGACCTTTGACTTGCTGGACTCCCTGACCTACTTCTAACAGGGCTTCTTGATTGACTTCTAGCTGGACTTCCTGACCTTGACCTACTTTTCTGACTTGTTGGACTTCCTGATCTACTTCTTGTTGGGCTTCCTGCAGGAGAACCAGCAGGGGAGCCTGACCTACTTCTCTGACCCTCAGCAGGCGAGTTTGACCTTGATCTTCCAGCACTACCTGCTGGACTTGGTGACCTACTTCTAGCACTTCCTGCAGGGGAAGGAGATCTACTTCTATCTTGATCAGGTGACCCAGGTGCACTTCCTGCAGGTGACGGTGACCTACTTCTTTCTACAGGTGACCCAGGTGTACTCCCTATGGGCGATGGTGACCTACTTCTTTCTACAGGTGACCCAGGTGCACTCCCTGCAGGTGATGGTGACCTACTTCTTTCTACCGGTGACCCAGGTGCACTCCCTGTGGGTGATGGTGACCTACTTCTTTCTACAGGTGACCCAGGTGCACTCCCTGCAGGTGATGGTGACCTACTTCTATCTAAAGGTGACCCAGGTGCACTTCCAATGGGTGAAGCAGGCTGTTCCATTTCAGCATCACTACCAGCTGGGGAATCTGGGGCACTGACATTATCAGCATTAGAGTCGGGTAGCATTGTTTCATCTGTAGGTGACGCAGGCCCACTTGGAGATTCTGTTTGACTGTAAGTTGGGTCTGTAGAACCTTGACTTCTTCCTTCACCTGGAGACTGTGGAGAGCCAGGGCTACCATTCAAGGAGTGTTGTGTTGGGGAGCCAGGTGAACCAGGACCATCTTCATCATTAGAATAGCCTGGAGATTTAGGGGAAGAGGGTGAACCAATCGGAGACTGTGAAACATCGTCAGGAGATCGTGGTCCACTGTTCACTGACATGTTTTCTTGTTCTCCATCTGACTGTGAAGTTTCCCCTAAAAAGATAATATAAATTAGTTGTATTACAAATGTATAGCTTCAAAGCATAAAAAAGTTTTTTCAAAAAAGCTCTAGCTTATTTCTTCGCCTAAATAATTTAAGATATTTGTAGAGATTTTGCATTTCTTTTGAATACAGCTATAGTTAAATATATAAAAAATCTACATTGTACATGTATATTTTAAAATTCAGAAAGATCCTGAGAATCAGGGCATCCATTAGTGGAAGTTTGGGAGTCATTTACTCCTTGATATTGGCTATGACTTCCAAGATATTATGGTTTTCCTCCTTAACCTAAATAGTGTGATTTCCAATGTTAGACATTTTGCACTTTCTGACTTCCAAATTTTGGAATATAATGGAAGCCCTGCTGAGAATGTTCATATGTCTATCTATCTTTTAACCCATTACTTCATATACACGCCTTTTAACGCCTTTTTCACCCCCCCCCCCTTTTTGTTGTCTCAAATGATGAAAAAATGCCTTATTTAGGCCCCAAACACTTGTTTTTGTTTGAGAAATGTTGTTAAAAAAAGTGACCTCTTTTTCGGCGCGGCCCCCCAACCAAAAGATACATCAGGGGGTTGCCAGAAGGGGGATGTGCCCCCTTCTGTTTGGGGGGTTTGAAGGGGGGCGGAGTTCCCCTCATCGCCAAGAAAAATTTTGGGCTTGTGAGAGGCTGTAAATGACCCCAGATTGATCATAAGGTAACGTGTAACCAACGGTGAAAAGCATTTGACTCTATCTCAATCCATTGAGAAAGTGCAGCACTTTGAAATCAATTTTGATGGAAAAAATCAACGCAAAATAGTGATTTTTGGCAATTTTGAGATGTCCCCTCGTTGCCATGGTAACAGAAAATTTAAGCATGAGCATGTTGTTGCAAGTGCAATGGTCCAGTCAACATTTGTGCCAAGTTTGATTAGTGTTGAAGCAGTTTTTATAGTATTATAGCAATTTGAACTTGTAACGGGAGACTTTTCAATGAAAACAGCCATTTTTCACAAAATGCTCATGAAGTAATGGGTTAAGAGAAGAGGAGACCTTAAAGATCTTTGTGATATTTTCAGCCTTTTAACCTACTGACCACACATTTTTACCCATGCAGACCAAGTTTAAACAGCATGGACAGTTCAAAATTCAATCATGAAAGTATTTTGAAAATTTCCCTAAAAGTGATGAATGGCCTAGTCCATATTAAAATATGGACAAGTCCATTTAAGATATTTAGGGATTCCTGCTATACCTTGTTCCATCTCTTCCTCTTTCCTGAAATCACTTTCTGCATTCTGCTCACCCTACAAAATAAAATGGTTTTTCACCTTACTTCTTTTAAGTATCAAAGAGAAATTCAAACTGAAGTGTGTACAATATTAAATACACATTTTTTCATACATAATATTAATATGCACATTTTTTTCACTCTGATATAAGTATTCTGATATAAGTATATTAGTTATTTCTTTCTAATTGCAAAATGCAACATATCATTACTGGTTTGGGAGATAAACTCGGCGAAAATCGGGGTTTTTGAGGCATATTTCATTTATTTGTTTACGTATTCTGATGAATCTTGCACCATAATAAACTTCAGCTCTTCGATATTCCTGTATCACCATAAAAGTTATATTTAGAAACAAAACGGGTAATTTTGAGAGGCCCTGGAAGAAGTACGTAAAAGGACATTTTTAACACGCGCGAGTAGACAATTCCTGCTGTTTGTTTTTTTTCTTAAATCATTTTTAATGAGTAAATCAAAATGTAGAATAACATGTTTAGACATTTTATTATTCCTTTGCTAGTCATATATGCCAAATAAAAAAATATTTTTTATCAGAATTTTTGAGAATTACGTTAGTATAATGAATACAATCATGTATCTATGATAACATGATATTAAATATGCAACGTACTATGTAACATATAATTCATTTAAACGTAAATATGTTTTTTGTTGTTGTTGTTGTTTTTTTTTTTTTATTTGTTTTTTTTAAGTATGTCATAGGGTGAGAAAAATGTGCAGCCTGACCGGGACTCATAAAAAGTAACCCTGTACGGGCCTCAAAATGAGCATCTACTGTGCATGCTTACAGCAATCTGATTTCCGGTACTATTTATAGGCATGATTTGTAAACAAACGGGTAAAAGTGTGTGCTATTTTTTAAATATCTTACCAAACTTTCCAGATATTGTCGAATTCCAGCGTTCGTACGAGATGGTGAGCTTGAGAACATTGAACAAGAGGGCCATGATGGCCCAAAGTCGCTCACCTGTATATAGGCCCCCGGAGCGAGCCAGTTTAAACCCAAGGGCTTTTATTTGAACAAACTTGGTTGACACCCATTAGAAGATATTTCATGCTAAACATCTAAGGTCTAGCTTATTGGGTTTTTTAAAAAGAAGATTTTTTATGTATATATATATTACACACACACACACTTATATATATATATATATATATATATATATATATATAAGTGTGTGTGTGTGTGTGTATGTATGTATATATATATATAAAGGGAGATAATTAAATTCAATACAGTTATACTTTCCCCTGCGTGGGATCACTTAAGATACAAGTGTGCAGATAATATATATATATATATATGTATGTATGTATGTATGTATGTATATTGTATATATATAATATATCTATATATAAATTACATATGTATATATATATATACATATATATATATATATGTATATATATATATATGTATGTATATATATAATATGTATATATCTAAAAAAAAAAAAGTCGAGCTAATGAATGACCCCCGGGACGGGGCCAATTTTGACCCCAGGGCTCTTATTTGAACGAACATGGTAGACATCCATTAGAACATGTTTCATGCTAAATATCTTAGCTCTAGCTCTTTGCATTCTTTAAAAGAAATTTTTTTAAGTTTTTACTATATGCATATAGGGAAAATCAATGACCCCCTGGGGCGGGGCCAATTTTGACCCCAGGGCTTTTATTTGAACAAACTTGATAGACACCCATTAGAAGATGTTTCATGCTAAATATCTTAGCTCTAGCTCTTTGGGTTCTTTAAAAGAAAATTTTTTAAGTTTTTACTATATACATATAGGGAAAATCAATGACCCCCAGGGCGGGGCAGATTTTAATTCTAGGAACAAAATTTGAACAACTTTGGTTTTGGACCTATAGATGATACCATAGACCAAATATCAAAGCTCTAGGCCATTTACTTTCAGACCAGAAGATTTTTCAAGTTTTCACTATATGTATATAATGAAAATCAATGACCCCTGAGGGCGGGGCCATTTTGACCCGAGGGCCATTATTTGAACAATCTTGGTAGAGGTCTACCACACAATGTTTCATGCCAAATATCTTACCTGTAGCCTTTGCCAATTCAGAGAAGAAGATTTTTTTATGTTTTACTATATACATATTAGAAAAACCTATGACCCCCCGGGGCGGGGCCAATTTTGACACTAGGGACAAAATTTGTACAACTTTGGTATTGGACCTTCAGATGATACCATAGACCAAATATCAAAGCTCTAGGCCATTTACTTTCAGACCAGAAGATTTTTTCAAGTTTTCACTATATGTATGTAATGAAAATCAATGACCCCCCCGGGGCGGGGCCAATTTTGACCCTAGGGCCATTATTTCAACAATCTTGATAGAGGTCTACTACACAATGTTTCATGCCAAATATCTAATCTGTAGCCTTTGCCAAATCAGAGAAGAAGATTTTTTAGATTTTACTATATACATATAAGGAAAAACCTATGACCCCCCCCGGGGCAGGGCCAATTTTGCCACTAGGGACAACATTTGAACAACTTTGGTAGAGGACCCATAGATGATACCATATACCAAAATCAAAGCTCTAGGCCATTTACTTTCAGACCAGAAGATTTTTCAAGTTTTTCACTATATGTATGTAATGAAAATCAATGACCCCCAGGGCTGGGCCAATTTTGACCCTAGGGCCATTATTTGAACAATCTTGATAGAGGTCTACTACACAATGTTTCATGCCAAATATCTAATCTGTAGCCTTTGCCAAATCAGAGAAGAAGATTTTTTTAGATTTACCTATAGACATATAAGGAAAAACCTATGACCCCCCGGGGCGGGGCCAATTTTGACACTAGGGACAAAATTTGAACAACTTTGGTAGAGGACCCATAGATGATACCATATACCAAAAATCAAAGCTCTGGCCCATGTACTTTCAGACAAGAAGATTTTTTAATTTTGTGTTTTTTGAAATCCTTTTCTGGCCCTGTGACCTACATATGCAACAGACCGGAACCATTTGAACAACTTTGAAAGGGGACCACCCAAGGATCATTTCTGTTTTTGGAAAAGTTCCAGGAAGACACAGCGTAGTTTTTGATTAGCATAAAGGGTTAAGAAAGGGTAATAGAGAAATAGAAAACAAATTAGGGAGAGACAGAAAGAAGAAATTTTCAAGGACGTCGGTGACGTCAATCGCCGAGACGTTGAAAAATGACAGTTGATTGACTGCGGACATTGTCAATGATGTTCGACTGTAGCTACGAGACGGTGCAGTCAACTCTAAGAATTTTAAAATGATAATTGTTAATGCATTTATTACATATATTGTATTCTTGGTTTACAATAGACTGAAATAGTATAAATTATTTTATAATTTTACGTAGTAGTCTTACATGTCTTATGGAGAAATTGTGTCAACAAGTTAACAGTCACGGTTCAAAATCGGCTATGTGTTTTACTTATTTTAAAAATAAGTAAAATTTGTTCTTATTTGTATTATTCTTTTATTTTCTCGTATATATGATACATTATTATTCAGCAACATTATTTTACATTATTTGTAATACATAATATAGTTTATTGCATGTGCGATTTTTTTCAGCAATCAAGTTACAGAGGGAAAAAATAGAAGTTTGCGTCATTACAGGAGCTCTTTATCATCATCCATGCTATTACAATACAATATGATAACGACTTGTATGCAGCGGATTCGCCGCATCAACAACATGTGTACATCGTATTGGGCTACTTCATGAATGAGTAAACCGCTGTACCGTTAAGGACATTACGCTTGTGACGTTGTGAACGTCATTTTTTTTAAGTAATACCGTGCGCCGCATTGCTTTACATGTACATGCCAATAACAGCATAACTTTTTTCTTTGTAAATATTTCTTGTTGATTTTTTTGTATCATTAAGGGGATAGATTCCGATTCAGGGTTCTCACTAGGACTTTAAAACATGGAGTCCATGGACTCCCAACCCTGAAAAAGTTGGAGTCCAAAAGCGTGTCGCAATTAATATGTTTACAGATTAGTTATTCAATGCTCACAATAGCATTGCTGATATTTTGAATCTTCAAGAGACTTCCAAAGTTTAAAGTTATTCAAAAGAAACTCTGAACTACATAGTATAATTATTGTTTTGTTGTTGATATTTATTATGAAATTATTTCATTATAATGCATCAACACATGGAAATTTGAACAACTTTGGTAGAGGACCCATAGATGATACCATATACCAAAAATCAAAGCTCTGGCCCATGTACTTTCAGACAAGAAGATTTTTTAATTTTGTGTTTTTTGAAATCCTTTTCTGGCCCTGTGACCTACATATGCAACAGACCGGAACCATTTGAACAACTTTGAAAGGGGACCACCCAAGGATCATTTCTGTAAAGTTTGGTTGATGTGCAGTCATTGGTTTCAGAGGAGATGTTGTTTATGTGAAAAGTTGACGACGCACGACGACGGACGACGGACACAGGGCGATCACAATAGCTCACCCTGAGCATTGCTCAGGTGAGCTAAAAAGCCGATAACTCGATTAAATTATAAAAAGCAGAGTTTATCAACCAGCCGAAGTTATCTCCCCAACCAGTGTGTTGTAAATTGTAAAATATAAATGTCAAACAATGAAAATGTGAAGCTGTATCAGGACTATATCCCCCAACTCTTGTATTATTGAAGGATCAACTGAGCTATAAGGCTGCAGTGCTTACATGTACATATTTTCCCCAAGTGAACATTTATATGCTGTGATATTAGATTATAATATTACATATAAGCAGATATCAAAATGTCTTACAAATGCCAAGCACTGACAACATGAAAAGTAATATAATATTTCAAATTTATAACAATTAAACATCTCAGGAGATTATTTACCCCTTCAATACTGTAGTCATATTCAGGCTCATCTTGTAAAGGTGTGCCACCACCTTCACCTGCAAACATAAAACAACAATAGTTATCATCAGGGTTCTCGGGGACGCTTATTTCGGCGTCCCGGTACGCATGTTAATTACAGCTGGACACAAATATTTCAGAGCAAGGATTCCAGGTACGCTTAATTTTGCCTGGGGATGTATAAACATTACCGATTGTTTACAACCACAAATACACAAAATGCGTCAGCGCGTGTCGGTAGGCGGTCCTATGCACATTGACCCGTGAAGCCATTAGCCAATCAGCGATAACGCTTCCGATCATTATCACGCAATAGTGATCAGACCAATGTATACACGCGCTGTACAGTACACGAAATTACCAGACATAACACGCGTGATAATTTTATATCTTTGATCAACAGTTGATTGGAAATTAGCAAATTTTACCGACAAAAGGATAAAATTATCGACTATTGTTTTCTCAAATTACAAATGAGTGTAATTTTTGAATGATTGTTTAATATTTTCGGCATTTTCTAGGCACAATTTTGCTTTAGTTTCATTCTTGCAAAAACTTTATATAAGAGTATTAAGAATTTAATATATTGTGCCGAAATACCAGGACAACAAACCAAAATACACATACGCTTTTCTTTGATATTTAGATTCAACCGAACAGCGGCGATTTCACGTTCGCCAGAAACCCTAAAATTTCGCAAAAATTATCGGTTTCCAAGCCAAACATGCGAATGAATTGTTCCTTTATTATTTAATCAACATTAAATCTTTAAATATCGATCTTCAATTTGCCCCCTTTTGAAGATATTTGCCACAGGCGCTAGTCACATTATCAAATATTTTACATAATCGGTCTATATATGTATATAAAGATATCTTTATATACATATATAGACCGATTATGTAAAATATTTGATTATGTGACTAGCGCCTGTGATATTTGCTAAAATAATTGTCGATCGGATGAATCTCTTACACACTGTGTGAAGCTGTACACGGTTTTCCTATTCATTCCGCTAAACGCTGCCTATATACATTTACGTTTTTTTTTTCACAAATATAAACTTTTTGTCTTTAGAGTGGACTTATTTAACCAGAATAAAATTTGATTTGGTATAAAAGTGAAAAACAAAAAACGATTTCCCTGTGTTGATGCATTACGAGGGATGATCAAAAATAAACCGGACTGTGACTGTCAATTGAAGAATTTTCAACCTATCACTTATTGTTATATATCACACTTAATCGGAAAACAATACCTGTAACCTGGTGCTATATCTAATCTGATAACGCCAATAGCATGTCCGTCACAGTGAATTCAAAAACCATGGTAACGCATACCCGGCGCAATGCGTAAAGTCGCGTTGACACCAAGCGCTTTATATTGCGTATATTTTAAAATATGGCACATTTAGATTTCAAAATACGCCAAAACGTCATGAACCATATCGTTGACGTTGTCAGAAAAAATGACTTCATTTTAGACATATTTATATTTGCAATCACAATTCAAACGTCACTTGTTAAAGAAATACTCGCATTAAAACTATGTCGTCGGAACGTCTTGAAACTCGATCAATAAGAAAGGTTTGTCAAAAGTAAAGAGAGAAATTGTTTAAAACTTAGAAAAAGATTATGGCTATCAAGGGAAAAGTTCCAGGAAGACACAGCGTAGTTTTTGATTAGCATAAAGGGTTAAGAAAGGGTAATAGAGAAATAGAAAACAAATTAGGGAGAGACAGAAAGAAGAAATTTTCAAGGACGTCGGTGACGTCAATCGCCGAGACGTTGAAAAATGACAGTTGATTGACTGCGGACATTGTCAATGATGTTCGACTGTAGCTACGAGACGGTGCAGTCAACTCTAAGAATTTTAAAATGATAATTGTTAATGCATTTATTACATATATTGTATTCTTGGTTTACAATAGACTGAAATAGTATAAATTATTTTATAATTTTACGTAGTAGTCTTACATGTCTTATGGAGAAATTGTGTCAACAAGTTAACAGTCACGGTTCAAAATCGGCTATGTGTTTTACTTATTTTAAAAATAAGTAAAATTTTGTTCTTATTTGTATTATTCTTTTATTTTCTCGTATATATGATACATTATTATTCAGCAACATTATTTTACATTATTTGTAATACATAATATAGTTTATTGCATGTGCGATTTTTCCAGCAATCAAGTTACAGAGGGAAAAAATAGAAGTTTGCGTCATTACAGGAGCTCTTTATCATCATCCATGCTATTACAATACAATATGATAACGACTTGTATGCAGCGGATTCGCCGCATCAACAACATGTGTACATCGTATTGGGCTACTTCATGAATGAGTAAACCGCTGTACCGTTAAGGACATTACGCTTGTGACGTTGTGAACGTCATTTTTTTAAGTAATACCGTGCGCCGCATTGCTTTACATGTACATGCCAATAACAGCATAACTTTTTTCTTTGTAAATATTTCTTGTTGATTTTTTTGTATCATTAAGGGGATAGATTCCGATTCAGGGTTCTCACTAGGACTTTAAAACATGGAGTCCATGGACTCCCAACCCTGAAAAAGTTGGAGTCCAAAAGCGTGTCGCAATTAATATGTTTACAGATTAGTTATTCAATGCTCACAATAGCATTGCTGATATTTTGAATCTTCAAGAGACTTCCAAAGTTTAAAGTTATTCAAAAGAAACTCTGAACTACATAGTATAATTATTGTTTTGTTGTTGATATTTATTATGAAATTATTTCATTATAATGCATCAACACATGGAAATCGTTTTGTTTTTTTCACTTTTATACCAAATCAAATTTTATTCAGGTTAAATAAGTCCACTCTAAAGACAAAAAGTTTATATTTGTAAAAAAAAAACGTAAATGTATATCAGCAGTGTTTAGCGGAATGAACAGGAAAATCGTGTACAGCTTCAAACAGTGTGTAAGATATTTATTCGATCGACAATTATTTTAGCAAATTTCTTCAAAAGGGGGCAAATTGAAGATCGATATTAAAAAATTTAATGTGGATTAAATAATAAAGGAACAATTCATTCGCATGTTTGGCTTGGAAACCGAGAATTTTTGCGAAATTTTAGGGTTTCTGGCGAACGTGAAATCGCCGATGTTCGGGATCAATTTTGGGATAGAATCTAAATATCAAAGAAAAGCGTATGTGTATTTTGGTTTGTTGTCCTGACATTTCGGCACAATATCTCAAATTCTTAATAGTCTTATCGAAAGTTTTTTGCAAGAATGAAACTAAAACAAAATTGTGCCTAGAAAATGCCGAAAATATTCGACAATCATTCAAAATTACACTCATTTGTAATTTGAGAAAACAGTCTTTAAACTTGAAGCGTAAATAGTCGATAATTTTATACTTTTGTCGGTAAAATTTGCTAATTTTCCAATCAACTGTTGATCAAAGATATAAAATTATCACCTCGTTTTATATCTGGCAATTACATGTACTGTACAGCTTGTGTATACATTAGTCTGAGCACTATTGCGTGATAATGATCGTTAGCGTTATCGCTGATTGGCTAATCGCTTCACGGGGCGATGTGCATAGGACCGCCTACCTATAGACTGAAACGCGCTGACGCACTTGTGTATTTGTGGTTGTAAACAATCGGTAATGTTTATGCGTCCCCGGGCAAAATTAAGCGTACGTGGAATCCTTGCTCTGAAATATTTGCGTCCAGCTGTAATAAACATGCGTACCGGGACGCCGAAATAAGCGTCCCCGAGAACCCTGCCGATTTATTTTCCGTTTATTTTTATGTATATTCATTTGACAGATAAAGAATCATTTACAAAGTCCGGTTAATTTTTGATCATCCCTCGTATAATGAAATAATTTCATAATTAATATTTCAACAATATTTTAATTCAATATTAACAACAAAACAATAATTATACTATGTATTTCATAGTTTCTTTTGAATAACTATAAACTTTGGAGTCCCATGAAGATTCAAAATATCTGCAATGCTATTGTGAACATTGAATGACTAATCTGTAAACATTAATTGCGACGCGCTTTTGGACTCAACTTTTTCAGGATTGGGAGTCCATGGACTCCATGTTTTAAAGTCCTAGTGAGAACCCTGGTTATCATATTTGAACTTAAATGACTGATGAAGATGACATGTGCATCTTTGCAAAATTATTTTTAAAAAAACAATTATCACCTCAGAAGCTTCATAAGTTTAGAAAGAAGTTGTGTTCAATATATAATTACCAAAGTTCTACATTTTAGATTTTATATACTTTGTTGAAATGAAAACACAAGTTACAGGCCATTTTCAACAGTCTTGCTGTTTGGTTAACCCAAAGTGTCAAACATGGTTGAGTGTCCACCTTGTTACTGAGAGGTCTAGGGTTCAGATCATGGACAGTGCCTGTAGATTTTAATGATTTACTATAATGGTGACAAGGTTGAAAAAACACATGACATTACTTCTAGCATGTCATTTGTGTGAGTGAAGAACTTTCAATCAATTACAGACAGGAAGTCCCATAATATTAGAAGCTGAACAGTAGATATGGTTGTACTTTGTAAGTTGCCGGGGATAAGTGTAGTGATGATACAGTTATAGCCTTGCTGTTGGGTTAACTCTTTATTGGGTTGAGTGTCTGCCTTGTAATAATTGTAATCAACTGAACAGACACATCGCAACTTTTTGAATTACAAGATAACGATAAAACCGAGGAATTCTGACTGAAAACGGATGTGTAGACTGGTGTCCTGCACACTTTTATAAGAACCAAAAAGGTCCATAATAGGGCAGGGAACCAGAATAAATGGAAGCAGTGCATAAAATACCAAATGGCACTTTTTAAACGGAAAATATAGAATAAAAATGAACAATTATAATAGACTATTTCATGGTGTAAGTAAATCAAGCGCGCTTTGAGTCTCTGCCTTTTTCATAATATAAAATTAGGCAAAGACTATGAACGGAGGAAGTTGGTTAATAAATCGTTCATTTTTTTCCGTTTTAAAGGTGTCATTCGGTATTTCATGTATTGCTTCCGGATCTGTTTTCACTCGGAATACTTGACTATTATTATTAATCCGAAAAGTTGCTACTGTTCGTTATCGGAATACCCTGCTTATTACCATTGGCCAGGCTTCGCGAAAGTTGCCGGACCGTCGGACATGTCCGGCAAAAATCAGGCCGGTCCGATATTTTTTTCGGAGTTCCGGACCTTATGTCCGGTACGTATACCGGGATATATCCAAGACCGATCAAGACCGAGTTTTCTCCCTTGAATAAAAAAATGTAAAACGAGTTTTGATTCGCCGTTTCGTTATAAGTGTCCGATACATACGACTGTCAATAACTTAAATGTCTGTGTTACTACATTATTACGCTGGCGCTACGCCCGGCAAAAATCGTTAACTATCCAATGAAGAAGACAAGGAACATCGCAATGCGATGCAACCAGGTTTTCAGCAAAATATTTCACAGAAGCTTTGTCATGAAGGGGCATTTGTTTTTAATTGAACTTTTAGGAGGAATTATGGCTTTTTTAATATTCCTCAAACAAAAATGATTGAGAAATTTTATGTTGTCTATTCGCCTTTTTTTCCCAAATGTTTTAGAAAGGTAAACAGTACTTTATTTTTGCTTAATTTTTGCATTTTTGCGTCTCTTGTCATTTTCTTTTGTCAACAATATTGGCGTGTGGTGTTTTGTGCAATATCAAGAAAAGTATGTTCACATTTTTAAAAAAATACTTGAATGATGTCTTGGAAGAAACATGGGAATTTAGTGAGCGCCAGGGCACTTGATGACAAAGCTTCTGTGAAAGTTTGGTCAAAATCCATTGAGAAGTTGCGCACTGTAGAAATTGTTCACTATATATTCTGTATAAGGAAAAAATATACAAAGGGCCATAATTCGGTAAAATATTATCCAATCACAAAACCCAGACAATATGTGCCAGGCACTTGAAAACAAAGCTTCTAAGAAAGTTTGGTCAAAATCCGTTGAGAAATGTAGGAGGAGTTGAGCACAGAATAAATTGTTCTCTATATATTCTGTATAAGGAAAAAATATACAAAGGGCCATAATTCAGTCAAATATTATCCAATCACAAAACCCCGACAATATGTGCCAGGCACTTGATAACAAAGCTTCTAAGAAAGTTTGGTCAAAAATCCGTTGAGAAATGTAGGAGGAGTTGCGCACAGAAGAAATTGTTCACTATATATTCTATATAAGGAAAAAAAACAAAGGGCCATAATTAGGTCAAATATATACCAATTGCAAAACCCTGGCAATATGTGTCAGGGCACTTGATGACAAAGCTTCTGAGAAAGTTTGGTCAAAATCCGTTGAGAAATGTAGGAGGAGTTGCGCACAGAAGAAATTGTTCACTATATATTTTATATAAGGAAAAAAAACAAAGGGCCATAATTAGGTCAAATATTATCTAATCGCAAAACCCCGACAATATGCACCAGGGCACTTGATGACAAAGCTTCTGTGAAAGTTTGGTCAAAATCCGTTGAGAAATGTAGGAGGAGTTGCTCACAGAAGAAATTGTCACTATATATTCTATATAAGGAAAAAAAACAAAGGGCCATAATTAGGTCAAATATTATCTAATCGCAAAACCCCGACAATATGCGCCAGGGCACTTGATGACAAAGCTTCTGTAAAAGTTTGGTCAAAATCCGTTGAGAAATGTAGGAGGAGTTGCGCACAGAAGAAATTGTTCACTTTATATTCTATATAATGAAAAAAAACAAAGGGCCATAATTAGGTCAAATATATACCAATTGCAAAACCCTGACAAATATGTGTCAGGGCACTTGATGACAAAGCTTCTGAGAAAGTTTGGTCAAAATCCGTTGTAAAATGTAGGAGGAGTTGCGCTCAGAAGAAATTGTTCACTATATATTCTATATAAGGAAAAAAAACAAAGGGCCATAATTAGGTCAAATATTATCTAATCGCAAAACCCCGACAATATGCGCCAGGGCACTTGATGACAAAGCTTCTGTGAAAGTTTGGTCAAAATCCGTTGAGAAATGTAGGAGGAGTTGCGCACAGAAGAAATTGTTTACGCCCGCCCGCCGCCCGCCCGCCCGTCCGCCCGCCCGCCCGTCCGCCCGCCCGCCGACATACCTCAATCTAATAACCAGTTTTTTCCTTCGGAAAACCTGGTTAAAAAAAGCGAAACAAAAGGAATACGAGTCCAGGCGCCCGCCGAGAAAATTTGTGGGTAAATGGAAAAATGGCCGCTTTGATCATGAATGTTTTGATTTCCAAACAGAGTCCATCCACAGGTGCTTGAAACAAATTTTTTTAAGTTTTATATGGGCTATATACTATATATCATTATATACATATATAGACTGGTTATGTAAAATATTTGAATATATGTGACTAGCGCCTGTGAGTCCATCAATCAGGATAAACTAATGTTTTATTTAAGGGAATAAAATTGTGTTGCAAATCTTTAAAAGTTGTTATGTCTTTAAAAAAAAACACCAAGGTATTACCATATACTTAATTTGGGGGAAAAAATTCGGTCAGACAAAAGTTCTTTCGGTCAGACAAGAATTGAAAGTTTGTCTGACCGAATGTCAGGCAAATTTTTCAGCAGTTTCGCGAAGCCTGTTGGCTCACATTAAAAATGGCTGTGCCCGACTAGAACTGACACTGAAAATTTCATTGATAGGTATATATTTCTATATATTCTTAAATTGTTTTTTATTTGATTTCATTTTGAATATACACATGTAGTCTATAGCCAGGCAAGTCAAAACTCAAAGCCTGGGCCCGCTTCACAGTCCCAGGCTTTGACTTCCTGGTATTATTTTAGGAAGTGGCTAGTCACACAAGCCCGTACAGCTAGCCATATGTGACTCACATACGGCTAGAACTTTTGGCTAGCCGTACGGGCCTGTATGACTAGCCACTTCCATTGAGTGTAGGACAAAAGCCCTCCTGGACAAAAGCCCTCTCGTCCAAAATTGACAAGGGGGACAAAAGCCCTCCCGTGAAAATGGCAAGGCGGACAAAAGCCCTCCCGCGAAATTGACAAGGCGGACAAAAGCCCTCCTGTGAAAATGGCAGGGCGCACAAAAGCCCTCCCATGAAAATAACAGGGCGGACAAAAGCCCTCCCGCAGCAAATACATATCTGTACATTAGTTTGTATTTTCAATTCAATGCACTCCACATATTAAAATTGTAATCATGAATAATTTTGTTTTCCATTGACATAAGGGTGTTTGTATGAGCTTGAGTACATTCCTGACTGACATCTGAATAATAAGTACTAAAGTTGTAAGTGCATAATTTATTCACGTAAAAATGAAAGATTACATGTGAAATTAAGATTAATAGTGTAATAAATGATGAAAAGAAGTTAAAATTAACTAAAATCAAAAGTCCAAGTTCCTTTTAATGAGTCAATAACTTTAGAAAGTGACTTTGTTTCAGAAAATATTACCTCATTAAACATTTCTGAAAGGTATGTTCTGAATGAAAGGTGGTTTTAGCTCATAAAAAATACTTAGACCAATAGAAAACGAAAACAAATATATATGTTACAAATTTAATATCTTGAGTGCATTGAAAAAAACCCACAGGTATGTAACATACATATATATTTTGTTACGGGAGGGCTTTTGTCCGCCTTGTTAATTTCACAGGAGGGCTTTTGTCCACTCTCTCATTTTCACAGGAGGGCTTTTGTCCGCCTTGTCATTTTCACGGGAGGGCTTTTGTCCGCCTTGTCATTTTTGGATGTGAAGGCTTTTGTCCGGGAGGGCTTTTGTCCGTTTCCCACTTCCATTATTTTAAGTCAATAACAAAGTTCCAGGTTACTTAACTATGTCCGTACAGAACAGAACTAACCGAGAATCCGCTTACCGACCGCAACAATACTCTTATTTGTATAAATGAAAAAGTAAAACTGTCACTGATAATGATTTAAAACTGACTAAACAGACCAGAAAATTATTTTGGATCCTCTTATTCATGTTGTCCATGTTGACATGTTTGCGAGTTTTTGCTTTAGATTTTTCACGAATTTCTTTTACGTTTTTACTTTTGTGATTTAAAACCATGTTGATAAAATAACTTTGAAAGGTTAACTAAGCCTTACCTTCTGTAAACTCAGTTTCCATTATAAATCAAACCCACGTCAATATTTTCGACTTTTTTTGTTCAAGTTTCACAATATCCCTGATAATAACCGAAGACTTCCGAATAACCGTTTAGTCTAATAAATTCACGAATAATTTCAATCAATATCTTCGTCATCTCCTTACGATTGTTGTTCAGTTGCTAAACTTTAACTGCATGCAACTAAAATAGAAATTAAGAGATTTTATTATATAGTAAAAGATCATAGAACTTATCATGTGTGTAATAATCACATATAAGGTGATGAATTTCATTTTCATTCTCTTCAAATGTACTTACTTTATCGGACGAAAGATGATAATTATAATATCATAAATATAATAAGATATTAAATATTCTATATTTATGAAAAATGACAAATAACTTTATTTAAATTGGCAATATTTTGTAATAAAATAAAAAAAAAGGTTTCAACATGGTCTTTAAAAAACACCCTGGTTTCAAATAACTTTCTTGAAAATTGAATTGCAACCCTCCAAACTGATCCATGACATCTCTCCAACACACAACAAGAAAAGCATTGATGCAAAGCATCAAAGGGCGACGCCAAAAGAATTTGATCCAGGTTTGCACCTAAATACTTAACAAAAGATGTGTACTTTATAGCAGTACCATTTCATGTGACCTGGAGGCTTGGTCCAGTTTATGTTGAAACTTAAACCAAAAAGAATAGACTCTGTCTTGCCAAGATGCAAAGACAATTTATAGTCAATAAACCAATCTTAAGATTTACTTTACCAGATACAAGGATACCTGAGTCATCATCACAGGCACAAGTATCACACCTGGGAAAAAAAATATGACCAGATTAATAAAAAATCTGTGTTCATCTTAAAAGTGTCAAAAACCAAAAAAAAAATATGTAAATAATGACCCCCTTTAAAAATATACTATTAACTTTAAGTATATATTTTTAAAAGGGGGTCATCATTTACATTTTTTTTTTTTGGTTTGTGACACTTTTAGATGAACACAGGTTTTTTATCAATCTGGTAATATTTTTTCTTCCCAGGTCTGATACTTGTGCCTATGCATATAATAAAAGCTTATTGCTTAGGGTTTGCAGACATGTCATTGACATATATTAGACATAAAAGAGGACCTAAAATGAACATCAGGGGGACACCATAGATATTCAGAGAGAACGAGTACCAGCCACATTCACCAGCTGCTATCAGAGATAAGACTTGAACCATGCAAGAATGTCATTACATATGGCAGATGCTTGAAGTTCCATGAAGAAGAAGAAAAAAGAACTTCTTCATGTGCAGTATAGTGTGATCAACTGTACCAAATGCTTTTTTGTAGATTTAAAAGTATCACGCAATACTGCCTTTGTCCATTTCAAATTAAATGCAATCTATTAAATGAATCAAACATGTGTCAGTTGAAAAACCACTTCTAAACCCTGACTTAAACTGCCTGACCATGACTCGAACCCATGACTTCAGAAGACCAACTGAGCTATCCGGCCGCTACAACATTTTCTCTTTATTAATGAAACAGTTCTAAACCTAAACCATTTTCCCCACTATATTGATTCATGTACTTGAATTTCTGATGTTTTACAGAGCATAGTAAATTAAACTAATGGTTATTTGCAGTAACAGGATTAGAAAAACTTTCAGCTTGACCAGAACTCAAACCTGTGACCCACAGAATAATGTACCGCGGCTGTAGCGATTGAGCTATCTGGCCGCTTACACATTTTCTCCCCTAAATAGTGAACAGTTCTAAACCGTGACAGATATATAGATTTTTAAATTAACAGATAATTAATTCTTAATTAATAAATAAGAAAAAAAACCTTACATACTCATAGTCTTTATATAATTAAAATAACAATTTATATAATTATTATTGTATAATTATTTTTACTAAAAAGGGCTAAGACAGTTATTGAATGTGCCATTATTTATAACAGGTCAATTTGAAAGTGAATATAACTGTGCTATACATGTACAATATCTATGATAAGAAATGTTATGAAGGCTGATTTGTATTTTACATCAAGGGCACCGGGCGAAAACATGAAAATGCAACAAACGAACCACTTTGTGGTAGATTTTATTTTCATGTTTTCATCTGGCGCCCGGTTACTTTTTGTACTTTGTTGGTTTTCATGTGGCACAAATCACCCACTATAAAATTTAGTGTACAAATTTTTTCAAGGACTAGTAACAATCTACTATCTAATGTAAAGTCTGTTGTCGGGTTGACTCAGGAGACCTGAAGGTTGAGACCGGTGTCCCTCCATTACAAATAGATAAGACAGAAGCTGTCCTTTTCAATCAATGCACATGTTAGAAAAAAATTAGAATAACCATTCAAAATATAATTTTTTGAGACTTTATCAATTATATTGCTTGATCCAAGTTTCAGGACATTTTCAATCAATACATGTATTATCATTTATAACTTTAAATGAAAGTCTCATCCCTTTAATTATAATGACATAACTGCAACTCTTTAAATTCAGAAATATTATAAGTCTCATCATACCAATATACTAAGATATAAATGTATGCACATAACATTAATAATTCCAAGTTTCTATTAAATAAATATGAAATATATTGGGTATATAAATCCAGTAAAAGTATATATATATCAATATTCACTCATCAGGGCCTCTATGCTTTTGATGACCTTACAACTGGTAAATTTTATAAAACAAAAATTGTAAGTAATACCTAAGATAGACGGAAAAGAACAAATAATTTAGTAAACATGAGTTACTTCCCCTTGAAATAAAGAAAAACATGAAACCCAAAAGAACACCCAAACATCAAAATTAAGAAATGTTGCAGGCTCATTTTAATTATGCCATGCAAATTAATGGTAAAGAATTCATAAAAAAGTAGATGGCCATGTGACAGCAGTAATTGCAGAAAATCGGATAGCTGTCAACATCCGGATACTGGTACACTTTGTAAAAAACAACCATTCTGATCAACAGATAAACGTAATATGGATAAAATCAATAGGATAATCGTTTACAACAGTCCATTACCTATCCTAATACTCATTTGCAGGTGAACTTTCTTCTTGTAGGAAAGTTTTAAAAATATATAAATGAATGAGCATCAATGTAGACCACAACGATATTCGAAATCCGGGTTTTAGTATTGTCAATAAAATAAAGGGACAAGCTGTTAATCAGAGCCTGCAATTTCGTGAAAATTATATCACAATGCACATGCTTTTTATATAAAGTTATTAAATACAAATATAACAACATATTTGTTTACTTGATTTTTACGAATCAAAATAAATATAATTAACTCAACATGAAATTAACTGCTAATAATAACAGCTCCTTCCATAGGCAAAAATAAAAAGCATTCCATATAAGACGACGCCGCTCACCGGCGTCGCCAATTAATGACATTTGAGCCGCGTCACGACAAAACCAACATAATGCGTTTGGAACCAGCATGGATCCTGATCAGACTGCGCGGATGCTGTTCGCTTACCAACTCTAATACAAGTAGAGAAACTGATAGCGAACAGCATGGATCCTGATCAGACTGCGCGGATGCGCAGGCTGGTCTGGATCCATGCTGGTCGCAAATGCATTATGTTGGTTTTGTCGTGAAGCGGCTCATTTATAAACAATTATATCTACAAAGAATAAGTATGATACATACATGTACAGTTAGTCAAAGACAGAGAAACCATGTAGATTGACGGAACGGTCAACCACATACATTAAGATTTAATTTTGGGTACGTACGTGGTACTCCATCTCACCGTGCGTTGTTCATATATTTATTACTAAACTTTCATCTTTTTAAATGATTTATTTCATTTTGCTATTATAAAGATACAAATAAACATTTTATGTAGAGCAATATTTAAATTAGAATTAATCTGGGACATAAAGATACGTTTACATTTTTAGTTTAAGAATTAATTAATAAAGTAAATTATATTTATTATTGTTCACAAAAGAAACATGTGAAAATGCATGTAATTAATAAAACAGACACGTGTCATAAAAAGATTTACTAATTGTTTAATTAGGAACATGTGTTTTGGATATGCAATTGTTGACAATACACGTGGATTGCAATTGTTATAATTTGATAGACGGCGACTGTCGTCTTGCACGGAAACAGTCGCCACGTGGTGTCAATTATACCTGGTCACGTGATCATGTCAATTATAACGAAATGTATATAAGAAAAAATTTAATCTATATTGGTACATTAATATTTCTCTGCTACTCAAAGATAATACTTACAGTTAAATCGTACGAGTTTTAAATCTGAGCAAATTCTGATCTGAATTTTAAAGGTAAATTACTTTCAAATTCATTTACTTATTGAACAGAGCCAGATCTCTATACCATTATGGATTAAGTAAAAATATGATTTGGTATTATCATAAGTTCAAAAAAGGAGTAACTAAAATTTTTGATCATATATCTTATAAAACTATAAAATAAATTAAAATTGAAATGTCCGACATGCGACAACTACTTAGACGCGTGTTAAAACCGAATTGCTATATTTTACTTGAAGAGACATTTAAGATCCAACAATTTAACACCAAGTCTCATAAATGACATTTTATTTTTATAATAATTTAATACATCTTTATCACTTTTATTCAGATGAAGACCAGTCACGTGGAATCAAAGATGGCGTCTATATCACGTGCTAAGAAAACAATGAAGCGTCTGAGGGCCCTGATTACAAAACATGAACTGAAGACTGAACAAAAGTTGAATAGAAATGACTTGGATATATCTACTTCAAATAAACAATTTGAGTATATGAAGAATATAACTTTAGTTAAACCTTCAAAGGATATGGTGTCTAATATTTTGTCAACCAGAAGTCTTTCAGTCAGAACACCGGGTGACGGCATGGACGACACGTCTTACATCGGACAATTAAGATCACCCGGTGTTGGAGAAGAAACTAACTGCTTGACAACGAAAGAAAAAAGTTCTCTCAATACGGGATTTATTTCAAAGTATGTCGAGAATGAGAAGAGAAATGAAAAAGTTGATATGAACAAATGTGCTGTGTTTGAAAATGACGATATATCATTCACCGATGACGTAAACT